TTAAATAATTACAAACTAGCAAAACGGGGCATCGCCCGGGCTACACACTAATTTTGACTTTAAATACATATAATACTTAAACATTTTGAAAAATTATTAAAAACAAATATTATGAAATTTTCTTATTACACCTTTTAAACAACAAATTTCACGAAAAAATATTTCTAATACATAATTTAAATATTTATAGCCAATAATAATTTTAAAATACTTAAATAGTAAAATAAGTCAAACGTTTCAATTATTATGGTACGAAAAATATATGCGAGATTTAAGTTAAATCAAATCAAGATTATTTATTATTATTATTATTATTAGTGTTCTCTTAGATTCACCCTTTGGCCTAATCCGATTTTGGAGCTCAGTCCTAAATGATTGAAATCCAGTACCCTTATTTTTACGGGGGATCGAACACGCAGTCTTCCTACAAATTAAATCAAGATAGATTATGTAACCCATTCAAAATAACAAAAAGCTATTGAATTTTTTAAGTTGTTTAAGACTTTTAGTTTCCAAGAAAAAAACTTTGGCCTATTCCAATTTAAGCTCAACCCACATATTTACATAAAAGCCAGCCCAAATAAAATTGAAAGATCCAAAATTAGCCCAAAAATCAAATACGGAGTAATGATCTTGTGATCAATACGACGAAGCTTCGAACTAGAGGACATTGATCGTAGATCACCAGGTTAGCACTTTCTCTCTCCTCCTCAATTCCTCAACGCTTTCCTGCTTAATCCTATCTTCAATCAATTGTAGCATCGATTAATTCTGACTCCCAATTCGCTAATTTTGCAGAAATCAAAATCTAGCTTCAAATCGATTTGGGGTTTTCGAGTATTTTTCTGGGGTTTAATTTGATTGTATCCTCTCTATTTGATCGAAATCAGAGCGAAAGAGAGGCTTTTTAGTGCAGAAAAGAAATGGGGTTCCTTGTTACATCCCTAATTTTCTTGGTGATTGGAGTTATTGCTTCTCTTTGTACCAGAATTTGCTTCAATCGTGGTCCTTCTACTAATCTGTAATTCCTCTTTCTCTCTCCTATTTTTGGATCTTTGAATCTGAATTTGCTCAATTTTAGCTCTACATTGTTGTTTGATGATTATATGTTGTTGATGTTTTTATGTTTTGTTGATTGACTTGTTGAAATTGGGATTTGGGCTTAATTTTAAGTAATTTGGGGTTGATTAGAACTGATATTTATGCTTATTTGAGTGTTCAAATGATTGGATACATCGAAGACTTTTGTGTTGAAATTATTGTTTGAAAACTTTGATTTATATGAAAAGAAATAAATGGTTGATATGTTGTTGAAATGGATTGTGTTTGCTGGAGGGTTTGAGTTGATGGAGTAAACGAAAGGGAGTGATCTTCAGCCGGTGTATAATCGTATAAGATATTGCAAGCCTTGGTTGGTATTAAGGTTATAGACTGAAAATGAAAGGGAGTGATCTTCAGCCGGTGTATAATCGTATAAGATAGTGTAAGCCTTGATTGAAGTTGTGGTTGTAGCACAAGGCCAGATAACGTGCCACATTATATGCGTAGTTTAAGCACAAGGAATCAAGGATAATGTACCCACTTCATAGGATAGGCAGAGTTGAGGGGATTCTGTTCAAGGTACCGCCTTGTAAGGTGAGAAAAACATAAAAGTCTTTGTAAATGAAAAGGAAATATGAGGAAGGAATCTCCACTTTCTACCAGTGGAAAGTCTACCTTGTGTTGGAGTGCACTACAATAATCAAGGCGAAGAGCAATGCTATGCTACAATCTGCTATGATTGGCAGGGTCTATAGTCCCCTTATACATAAATATTTCCTTAGTTGTAACTATCCAAACTTGTAAATGTTTGTTTCTTAGGAAAATAAAGAGGAAAACTGGTATACAAGAATCTAGAAATTGCAGTAAGCCGGTAAGTTTATTTGGTTCTTCTAATGTGTGAATTTGCCAAATTGGTCTACGAGTACAAAGCTAAATCTGCATCAATTTTTACTAGCAGTCGTGCCAATAACATTTCATAAATTCCGGACTTGTTTTGGTACCATGATCAAAATAAAATGATAGAGCTAGTGAGTCAATAGGTTAGAGATTTATTTTTTGAAAGCTGAGAGTCCTTGTTGGAATTGTGATGGAGAGCTTACATATTGCAATTGACTTTCCTGTCATTGCCATGTTTTGTCACAACTTGTAGGTAAACAGGTGCCAAACACTCTTTATGTATCATGTGATTTTTTTTTTCTTCCTTTTTTTTGCAAAAAAAAGGAAAGAGACGAACTTTTGACCGTCAATTCCTACTTTCCTAGCCCATCGCCATGCCAATTGAGGGATATTATGATATTGGTCAGTGCACTAGGCAATTCATATTCACTTTTTTTTTGTGACCAAAGATGCTAGTATGCATCCTTCCCAAAATTAAAGAAAGTGTATTAATTTGTTCTCCATTTCAAGGGCAAGGATCTGTGTGTAAAATTGATTACGATTCTATTGGGTGCCTATGTGGTATCTACCTAATTGTTGAAGATATCCCTTGGCTTTTATATATATATATATATATATATATATATATATATATATGTCTCAATGTACCCAATTATTTTACTTCTTAATGTTATTAATTTAGTGACTAAAGTATTTTCTTAATTGCAGGTTCCACTTAACTTTGGTTATTACAGCAACAGTTTGCTGCTGGATGATGTAAGTCTATTATTACCTTCCTTAAATCTTTATTGATTAAGTGAAACAAAAATAGTGTAATAGCTAAGTAACCTATGTAAAAGCATAAAATGTTGTGCCGTGCATGTAATAATACATTTGACTTTTGCTCTATCTTATGCAAAGTACTTTTATTCAATCCTATAATTAGGTTGGAAATTTGAAACAAATGCGTTAGAGACTGGAAATCACTTGTAGACTTCCATCTTTCTCATGTCATTTGGAGATGAAATTTTCATTTTAGGAGAGTTGGGTAGTTGTTCTCTAGACTTACAGATAGAAGGACCATAAATTGTCTTCCCATGTCACTACTACAAATCTCTTTATTTTCAGTTGGAGAACGACTATAGCTGCTTTGTTTCTTTATTGAATGGTTGGGATAGACAAAGCCTGGACTATGCCTGGAAAGGCTTTAACTCAATGAGATAATCTGCAGTAGTGGGGTTTTGTATGGTTATTTTTTGGTTTCTGGGGAAGTAGAGAAGGAAAGAAACACTGAAAGGTAGAATAGTGATTCAAAATTTCATGACAAATATGTTTCCCTCCTTCCTGGTGTAAGCGCACTATGGAGTGATGCCAGATTTCCAGGTTTGGTGCATAGCTTTGTTGATAATGGGTGACTAATATTATATTTATAGTCAATTGCTGACTTCTCGCAAAAAACTTTACTTCTGTGGGAAGAGGTAATACTTTTCTGATGAAGTGCATGCTGCGAAAAGCATATTCAACTATCTCCACTTACATTGAGAAAGATGATTAGTCTAGTTTGCTGAGTAATCTTATCCAATAGTCTGAGAGGTATCTCTGCTACCGGGTATTTTCCTTTGCAGACCCGTCCTTGGATCAGATTCTCATTAAATTGTGTTGCTAGTTGTAACAATTATTTATTAATTATTAGGCATTGTGTGCTCTATTGAATAAACCAATTCTTCTACTAGAGAGAATGATCGATTATGATTACTGTCTTTAGTGGCTAGAATGCAGCTTGAACAAATTAGTGTCATGGGAATTAGGCAGGAATAATGGTTGATCTCGCTTCATAATCATTTCTGTTGATCTCTATCGTAATCTGCATACCGTGCACGACAATGTATTAGCTCTATTGTGTATTGAAAGCTTGGAATGACTGTTGACTGTGCTTGTGGTTTCATTTTTATCTCTGCCTTTCTCACTATTTTTCTACTCTGTTAATTTCAACCATGCTAAATATTTGTTGTTCATATCAATTTCTATTTGTGTAGGTGGGCTATTGTATATCTTGCGCAGATGAAGCCCCTCATTAACCCTATACTGAATGAAGCAGAGTAAATCGGGTGTGTGGTGAAAATTAGAAAGAGTGCTTCTCTAGATACCAAATGTTACCATTTTGCAGATTTTCAGAGGAACTGAGAGCGATGCCATGGCAGTGATTTCTCATGTGGATTTGTATGTAATTCTATTATTGCAGAGAATAAAAATATTCCTTCTTTTTTGGCTTTGAATATCCCCTTGTATTTTTAAGCAATCTATTTGTTTGAATTGATGAATCTTCTTTGTGGATGAAATAAAATCAGTTGGTGGAACACAACTATAGGCACGAAAAATAGTTGTTGATGTGCCTCGTTAGATATTGTTTGGCTCAAATGTTCTTGATTCATTATTCATTTGATTGTAAAAAAAAAAAAATTTAAAAAAAATATTTTTTTTTTAAAAAAAAAATCAGTTAATTTGGGTGAGAATGTTAATTTAGCCGATATTTATGTATTTCAATTGCTTCTTATACTAGTATTACTAATTTCTTGTGCTATCAAGTCAGAATTCAAATAGCACAATACATGATAAACCATGGAATTTCCAATTTTTCACTCCCATAAACAGAGTTTTAAGCCTATATCATCCTAGCAATGTGAAGATAAGTTGAAGAGCTAGCCAACTACTCTATCAACATCCTATCACGAATATCCGTCAAAAAAAAACATCCTATAACGAGTACTACATATTAATTACTTTACTTTAGTCAAAAGATTACGCTAATATACACTCATACAGTCATACTTAGTCAATTGACACTCCAAAAATTGAAAGAGCAAAGCATTGTTTTACAATTATAAGAGGAAATATTCTTACTGAAATTAGTCCCAATTCTTAACACATTGCTTCTCAGAATGTCATCTTGCATATAACTGGTAAGTGACTAGAGTTTATTAAAACTCTATAGTTGTTAATGACATAACATACATTAACCGCCATTTCTACTTCTTGAAAATTTGCTCTATTTCTGATTTAGAAGTATGCATTATCACCTTTTTTTTGGCCAATGATAAAAAAGAAGCAAAACTTATGAAATAACCCAATTATACCTATAGAATTTTATATCATTAAATTAGGAAGACACCTTTTAATTTCATATATGCAAATTTTAAAATTAATAGAAAAATGGTATAAGTCAGACCGAGATCAAATATGTGTAATTGTGTAAATAGATCGAAATATACTAAATAAAACTAACTACACTCCAGCTAAAAAAAAAAAAATTACTTCACCAAAATTCTTTTTAATATCAAAGATGAAAAATGAAAGATGAGTCCCTAAATAGTAAATAATGATAATTATCAAAGTCAAAACTTCGAAAATGTATTTGGGCTCCAAAATAAAACAATTGAATTTTTTTTTTTAAAAAAAACAATTGAATTTGATATCATTTCCAACTCAAATGCCAATGAGATAAAAAGGGAGAAAATAACAAAGATTAAATAGAAAAAAGTGGAAAAAAAAAAAAAAAAAAAAAAAAAAAAAAAACTCTAAAACCCTAAAACATTTGTCTCCTCTCACACTCTTCCCCAATTTCCCCCATCACTCACTTCCTTCCATTCCAGGATAATAATTCCTATAAAAGCCCTTTATTTTTGTTTTTTTCTCACTCCTCTTTCTTCACTCTCAAATTTTGCATCAAATTAAAGGAAAAAAAAAATGGCAACTCTTGGATTTACAAATGCCAATGAATTAATGTACTCTCATCTAATTTCAACCCAATTTTCTCATACCAAAAAAAGTTTCAATTTTAACTCCAAAAATTTCTTCTTTCCCAAAAATTCAAAAACAAGAAAAAATAATGGGCGAAATTATGCAGGATTTTCTACTTCTTGTTCATTTACTCCCATGGAAACTGCTAAGATTAAGGCTGTGGGTGTTGGTGGGGGTGGCAATAATGCTGTTAATCGCATGATTGGTAGTGGTTTGCAGGTATATTTTCTTCCAAGTTTCAGTTTTTATTTATTAAAATCCAATTTTTATTGTATTTTGGGTATTTTTGAATGAAATTGGGGCACATTTCTATAATTCCATTGTCAAATTTGATTTTTGGGTATTTGTAAATGAAAATTTTGGTTAATTTCTATGTTGAATTGTTATGCTCGCCTTAGTTAGACTTAGTTGAATTTACATTGCTGTGAATTGTGATTGAACCCTTGAATTCCACTGTTGAATTGAGCATTTGGGTATCTCACAATATAATTAATAAAAGTTACTGTATTGGAGCTTCGATTTGTTGCATTTTTCGTTAGTAATGTGATGCCCTTTGCTTGTTGAATGGTTTTGGGCTGGATAATATTGTTGCATTTTTGCTCTTTAGTGTCTAATTTTGTCAAACTGCTGTTTTCTAAGGTCTGCCAATGTGTTTGTAGGCGAATTTCAGCCCTTGTAGTATAATTTGATTTGGATTTATGTTGATGAAGGTTAATTTTGTATCTCTGCGATACACCTGTTTTTTTGGAGTTTTGGTTTGCTGATGAATTATGTTGTATGATATTCGAATAATTTGTGATAGAAATCGATAAGTAGCATAATTTGGAATTCACTCAAGTTGAAATCGTAATGAGGTCCCAAAATGTAAAAAAACACACACACACAAACCACGGTAATTGGTCTTGGAGAGTTTCTTTGTAAAACTTTATGTTTGCTGTAACTTCTTGCCTCTTATGGGTTCTTAGCTGTTGTAACTTCTCAGCTTTTTTATCTTCGCTTTTCAACCATGGCCACCCTTGGTGTTGTAAATATTGTCATACTATTTGTACTTCCTCACTTTGTTCTTTGTGGTTGCTTGATGATATGATGATTTAGTGGTTTGTGTAGAACCTCCCTAAATTTTCACTTCACCTACTCATTTGATCCTGTTAGATGTTTGGCTTTTTGGATTTCTGGAAGGAAGCTTATTTTTCATATTTGTTCTTAGCGCTCAATACTTGCCTAATTGGATGTTAGTAATATAAGACTATAAGTCCTAGTTGGCTTTTTGTAAAAAATTTTGTTAATCAACATTTGGCCACAATTGGTTATTCTACCCACGCCTAAATTACCACATGTGGCCATTTGCAGAACTTTTGTGCTAGGCCGTGGGAAAACTACTCTAGATTTATTACAGATATATTGCTGTATCAGAAATTGTCAAATGATGAGAGTCATGAGACTCCCTGCATCCAATTTGATATATGTATGCCTTTGCTGTCAGGGTGTTGATTTCTATGCCATAAACACAGATGCTCAGGCGTTATTGCAATCAGCTGCTGAGCACCCAATTCAAATTGGAGAGCTTTTGACACGTGGATTAGGTCTGGCATTTTTTACATTGTTCAGAATAATGGACCTTATTTCTTGTTTATTAATTTTGATGTTCATAATTTAATCACGTATTAGTTTGCCCTGTCCCTAATTGAGCATCTTTTTTAATATTCATATCACGACCAGTTTTTGCCCACCTTAATTATTATTCTCAATTTATTATGTCTTCTGTATTGATTGTGTGGAGTAATAAGTAGTAGTGATGTAGGTACTGGTGGGAATCCATCACTTGGGGAGCAGGCTGCTCAAGAATCAAAAGAAGCTATTGCAACTGCACTTGCAGGATCAGACCTCGTGTTTGTAACAGCAGGAATGGGTGGGGGCACTGGATCAGGTGCTGCTCCGGTCATCGCTCAAATAGCCAAGGATGCAGGTTACCTCACTGTGGGTGTGGTGACGTATCCTTTCAGCTTTGAGGGTCGCAAAAGGTCATTGCAGGCAGGTGCCCCTGTAGCTTTCATTAAATAATGTTTGAAAAAGTTTGTGCCTTGATAAAATATGCTGTTTGTTGGTTCCATTTGATAAATGAAACTTGTTCACCTTGTATTTCTTGTTCATCTTGTATTTCTTGTTTTCCAATTATGATTATAATTTCTTTTTTCCTTATGAGTGCCTATTTAAAAGATACTTTAATGATCTTTATAATGAAGCTCATATTGAGTAGTTTTTTAAAATGTGAAATTCAGGTTTTTGGCATTACTTATCTTTTCGTTTCTAATCTCATCAGGCACTGGATGCTATTGAAAAGCTGCAAAATAATGTTGATACCCTCATTGTGATACCAAATGACCGTCTCTTGGACATTGCCGATGAACAAACTCCTCTTCAGGATGCTTTTCAGCTGGCTGACGATGTTCTTCGCCAGGGTGTTCAAGGAATTTCAGACATAATTACGGTATGTCAATTGATATATAATCTTGTGACTCTGTTGCATTGACTGAAGCCTCTCTGTTGAGAGGCTGGACTTGCGTAAAAGTAAATGTGAATTGTGAAATATTGAAAATGTTTATTCAATTAGTTTCTTTCTAGGCTGTTATAACATATATGACTATATGAGACCATTATGTTTTTTCAAGGACATTTTATTTCAATTAATGTGGCAGATGGTAAGCTTTTAATTGCCACAAATAACATATTGGTGGTGTGTGTAGAGCCTAGATATTTGAGGGGCATGTACAAACTAGCAGAAAGGAGAGTTTAGTTTTAGGCAATTTCCTGAGTATAAGCTCTTTCTTATCTTGTAGAATTTGAAATTCTTCTTTTTTGCTCCTTAGATTCCAGGACTTGTAAACGTGGACTTTGCTGACGTCAAGGCAGTCATGAAGGATTCTGGAACGGCAATGCTTGGGGTGGGTGTTTCCTCTAGTAAAAACCGTGCTGAAGAAGCAGCTGAACAAGCAACTTTGGCACCTCTTATTGGGTCATCCATACAATCTGCAACTGGTGTTGTATACAATATAACCGGTGGAAAGGATATAACATTACAGGAAGTTAATAGAGTATCACAGGTACAGTTGAACTAGTTGAATTCCGAGTTCAGTTAGTAAATTTTTCAGCAAGCTTGACTGGCTTACTGTACTAATATTTTAAATTCGACATTTTTCAGGTAGTTACAAGTTTAGCAGATCCATCAGCGAACATAATATTTGGGGCTGTTGTGGATGATCGCTACAATGGAGAGATTCATGTGACCATCATTGCCACAGGCTTCTCCCAATCATTTCAAAAGACACTACTAACAGATCCCAAAGCTTCAAGGCTTTTCGATAAAGTAACCCAGGAAAGCAAAGGATCTACTGGTCTTCCAAACTCATCCCCGCTCTCTCCAAACTCCGTACCACCACGACAACCTCCAAGAAAGCTGTTCTTCTAGAGTCTGAAACATAACTCTTTCCTGCCATGCCATTGTTTGATCTCTTGGTCATGGGTTTATTATGATCTTGGAAAAAAAAAAATCAATGTTACATCTTGCTTATTCCTACCTCGTATCTCTCTCACCCTTTTCTTTTTTTTTTTCTTTTTTTTAACTAGGATTTGCTTGATTCTTTGATATTTCCGACACAAATGCTTCAGTATGAAACATGCTAATGTAAATCTTCTTTAATTTGACCTGATTCAATTATTTTTAATTTGTTACAATGTTTATCAATTATTTTTTATGGTAAACTCTAGTAGAGCTTAAAGAGTGGAGAGGGATAGAGAAAGAACGGCCGGAGGAGATCAGGAGAAACACGCTGTCGTCTCGACCTGAGATTTGTTCCATCCTTTTTTTCCCACCCTAGAAAGGGTTGCCAGAGATATATTGGTAGTTTTGATATGAAACCTTTTAATTAAGGAAGGTGGTTCATTATTGTTTATTTTTAGAAATTATTACAGTATTATTTTTCTTTATTGTTATTAGGTTTTTATTTGTGTGAATTTAGCTTGAATTTGGATTCTAGTAATTTTACTAGATCAAGTCCATAAAATAGCACATCTTCGTTAGATTCCTATAAATAGTTTAGATATTATTTAAAATTCTTTGTTAATTGTTATTAGGGTTTTTGTTAATTGTTACTCTTACTACTATATGCGCATAATTTTATATATAGTTTTATTCGGCTGCTCAAAATTCAGACTTTGTTGTATCATGAAGATGAGAAAAACTTGTACACTTCCTATGGATATTATAGAAACAAATATACTCCCTAGATTACCCGTTAAGTCTCTTTTTCTTTTCAAATGCGTTTCCAAATCTTTTTTAGCTCTAATTTCCTCCCCAGAATTTGTCGATCTTCATCTTCGACATTCTCTAGCTTTCGATGAAGGCAAACGCTACCTCTTTATGTCCGGGACTGATTGTTTCCTTAGCTCCTTAAACCTTAATGCCCCTGAACTCCCCCAAGTGAAGTTTTCGCTTTCCCGGGTTATTAACTGGAGGAAGGGCAATATTTTCGTGGTTGGATCATGCAATGGTTTGGTATGTCTTATATTGGGAGACTTTAAACACGTCATATTGCTCAACCCGTTTACTAGATTTCTCAAAGAAATACCCTCTCGTCGTATCAAGAAAAATAGAGATGATAATTTGTGTTTAGGGTTTGGGTTTGATGAAGTTTGTCGAGATTATAAGATCATTAGTGTTATGAGATCATCTATCGTCGATGGTGTACCAAAAAACAATGTTATGGTTTATAGTGTGAAGGGCAATGCATGGAAACATGTCGAAAGTAATGTATATAGTCCCTCTATATCGAGGGAGAGGATGGGAACTAGGTGTGTCGTCGTAAACAACCATTTACTGCATTGGATCTCCCAAGACCTTTCTTTGGATCCTTGTTATCGGATTGACTGCTTTGATCTATGGACGGAGCAATGGACTCGAGTGCCATTGCCTAGGAAGTACGGTACTAGGGCTGCCTGTCTAGATTTGGAGATTCTTGACGGGTGTTTGTTTTTGTTGGTTGAATGGGGGGGGGGGGGGTCAGTTTTACGATATATGGATCATGAAAGAATACGGAGTGAAACATTCTTGGGTGAAATTATGTTGCATTTCGAGCTTTCGTTATCATTGGGTAACTGGTTTGATTACTCCTATTGCTATTTGTAATCTAAAATTGATGTTTTTCTCCAAAACTTACTCAAGGTTATATTGGTACAACATTAGAGATGAATCCTATTCCGAGGTTCAACTTCATGGAGGCACTCCTAAGTTGTTGTCACAAGCTCATGTATGCGTAGAGAGCCTTGTCGCCATTCCCGGAAGTAGACATATCTATGCTGCAAGCAACTAAAGCTAGCACATATGATCCTGATAAGTTGCCAAATCCCAGCAGCAAACAATCAAAAAATACGGAGTCTCATATCATATTGAATGCCACTTTCAGTTACCTTAGTGTTTATTAGAAACAAGATTATGCTAATATCAATTAATTTACACTATTAGAATACAATCTAGGATTGTTTTTGTGAATTTGGACATTTGAAATAATATGCATTGAATGACTAATATCAATTAATTTACACTATTAGAATACAATCTAGGATTGTTTTTGTGATTGTGGACATTTGAAATAATATGCATTGAATGACTAATATCAATTAATTTACACTATTAGAATACAATCTTCGAAGTATCGTGTTGAGCAACTACAAAAATAAGGATAGTTCAGGGGATGGAGTGAAAGAAAACATGCTAATGCCAAAATGTTCAAAGAGGGAGGATAACAAACGACCACCGTCTGTCTCTTCCTTCCAGGCCAGAGCAAGGGCTGATGCCTTTTTAGCGTGAATGTCTGTTTTATCTCTTCTACCACTGCTTCCTGAGACATTTTCATTTTGCAATTGCTGGCTAATTGCTGAAAGGCCAGCATCAGATCCCCCAACGGCTGCAGAAAATACTCCAGCAATCCCTTGTATGTTGGCTTGCATGGAGTTCACTGGCATCACTCCCATTGCACCATTGGTTGATAATTTCTTCAGTGGTGGCTGTTGTAGCAGGTTGTCCGCGCTAGCTTTTCGCTTGCCTGGAAAAGTAACAAAAAGATGAAGGCAGAACCCAGGAATTGACACAAATCCAAAGGATGAGGTGCAATCTTCTCCTAAGGATTTTAAGACTTCATACATTCTATTGAGGGGGGTGGAGAAGCCATGGTCAAGTAAAACCCCATATTCATGTCTCTCATGGGACCGCCCACCTGGTGTTTGTACTGTCTTGTTCGACTGAATAATAAAACTTAGCCCAACAGGGTATACGGGAACAATTTAAAAACTTTTAAGGACTACGATCTGTAATAATTTTCTTTTTACAAGTAATTCTCCCCGTTGAGAATAAAAGATGACATAGTAAAAGTCAAAGGTCCAAGGGAACCCATATTTGGCTTTGAAAGTTACATACTTATATTGCTTGCTTTGATAGCAGGATTAAAATTCATTATTGTCAGTTTGTTGCAATGGTTCGAAAAAAAAAAAGTCATTTTAGTATCAACCTCATATTCAGATTTCATCAAAGTGCAATACTCTAGATGCGTTCATTGCATAAAATAGAAATTAGACTGCAGAACCTCCCCACTCCTTAGTATCCCAGACCTTGCCGATGGCAGCTTACATGTTAGCATATTGTGTCACATAGGATGATTACTTTTTTTCCTTTATAATGAATATGTGGGGTGAGGTTGCCTATCTCTCACAGAACCAAGGAGAACCCAAAAATGTGCCCCCCTAGAACTACAAACTTAACCAAGCGAGCATCTATACTGTGTACACAAGATAAGAGCTGGCTTGCTGCTAGTCACTTCACTATATAAAGCATACGCCTAACCACCAAACCAACCCCTCACCCTGTTCTAAAAAAACTAGGAAAGAACGCAAAAGAGATTAAATACTTACTAGGTAGCATGGTCACAATCTTCTTATTGGACTTCAAGATAGGTCTTGCCAATGGAAGTGGTAAGCTTGGAAATTTCTTCAGCTGATCATGCATGCATTTGCCAGACGCAAACTGGAACATGTAATATTGTGTCAGTTCAAAACAAATTGAAGAACATAGCGATACTAGATATTTGGTACTGAAAGCTCACCAGTAAGGCCCCATAGACCCGCCAAGCTTCTTGCCTTCTAATCTCATTCTTTTGCCCTTCTAGTTGCATCTCTGGCCCCAGAAGCTGTATATATGGCTCTAGATTTGGAAGTATCAGCAGACGAACCTAAAGTCATAAGACATTGATCAAGCTCTTAGTGGAAAAAAAATATATCCTCTCTTTTGCCTCTGTTTTACAGAATTACCACTATAATTGATAATTGGTATACAAAATAAAAAATGTATAGCAGCATAGATAGATAAAAGTATTAATGTTTACTTTTAATTCCCTTTAACTATTTGCTTATGAAACATACCACACTAGGTCCAAGGGCAGCAAGCCCTTGAATAGCACCATAATGTTGAGGCAGTGCTTTTTTTGGGTCCAAAAAAGCATGGAGCAGTGTCCTGGTGACTCGAGGCTGGAGGTTGTGATAAATATGCCCAAATCTGTCGAAGGTTTTTTAACCAATTAGACAAACAGCCATGAAGAGAGACAAAGATCTGGTTAACAAAAGGGCAGCCAAGAGCAGAGCAAGATAATAGTATGTGATATGACAACCTACTGCAGATTGCATTGTTTGTTCACCTAAGTAAATATATAGTTATACACCATAACTGCATAACCACAACAAAAATAGCATAGTTTCTACATTATTTTTCTTTAGGATCATTCTCCTGTAATGCAGACCATACCTTTGACATACTCGGGCAACCAGGTTTGCACTAAGGTTTCTCAGCTCCCAATGATTGTCAGAATATCTGTTCCCTAGCCTCTTCGCCACCAAACAGGTAATGACAGAAGGCATAAGCTGGTGCACCTACAAAAAGGCCATGATTACAAGTTCAGGTGTAATGAGAAGAAAACATTCAGATGATTATAAAGTCAGCAAGTCTTAGGCAACAAGTATGTTTAGCAAACCGAATCTTTATAATTGGTATACAAAGTACACAGATGGGATTTACACCGGAAAACAGATATAAGATAGGATAATATTCAAGTCAAAAAAATGCCATGACAATTTCATTTGAGGACAAGAAAATGTACCAATAAATAAGTAATTGGCAACTAGCTGTGGCACTACCAGTGCCTAAGGCCTAGAATTGAATCTTGTCTATTTCATCTCTGTGGTTCTCTTGGGGGATTGTGGGGGGTGGGGTGGGGGGGGGGGGGGACCTTGTGCTGAAGAAGTTATGATTATCAATCATAATATATATATTAAAGACTGCAAATGCTAGTTATAGCACCTTAGTTTGAGACATAAGAAACTTAAAAAGCTAATCAAAGCCAATAGATTCAGCAACTGGAACATGATAACAAATGAAAGGAACAAGTAAGCTGATGCTCAACCATAGCAGTATAAAGTAGAGTTGGACTTACATATGGCTCTACATGTATATGTGGGTTCTGAAGAAGGCTCCAAACAAGACGCATCAATCCAGTTAAGAGACTTAATTTATTCAGATTCCGAGAAACCTGTAGTCATTTGACTCAATTGAGTCAATTCAGATTGTCAATTACCTAAAAAAAATAGAAAATGAATGATGCAAATTAAATCAAGGATTGTAGACAAAAGAGCATCACAAATTACCTCATCACCAATGAAGCATGCAAAGTAAGGTACCAAAGGATGAAGTCCAGAATCAGTTGCCAAGTTCCGCAAAGCTTCTTTGAAGAGAACTGTATCAGACTTGCATGTAGTAAGCTCAATAACTTTGTCAAAATAAAGCTACATTCAGAATGAAAGAAAGGCTTGGGTCAGTGTTAGGAAATTCATAAATCAGTGAAAGTTTAGGGTAAAAACCGGTGAATTTATAAACCTGAAGCTCTCTAGATAAGACATGTTTGACCGGTAATTTAATGTCGATAGGGATTCCTTCTTCTTTAAACTCTAATTTATTTCCATCAGATGAAGCTGCAAGAGCTGTAAACATAGATCAGCATTAGAATTTTGCATCAATGACTCATAAATTAATTTATAGGCATATGTTGCAAAATCAAATCACTAAACACCATGCGATGTCAAGGTTTGATACCTTCAACTGGAGGATTCTCAGGAATGGCAGGCTGTACGCCTTCAATAGCCAGCCAGTGCACTGAAAGGGAGGTATCAAGGGGTGCTCTAGGCACGGGTACCTCAGTTACCTATGTCGATTAGGAATATAATGGGTATAAATAGGATGAGAACTGAAATTGATTAAAATTAGAATTAGTAAAATCTTACATTTTTCAAATCTAGATCGATGTCATTAACATAAAACAAATCCTTCTGTCCAGCAGCTCTCTTGAAACGCAAAGGATCATTGGAGGCAAAACCATAGATCGGCTGATGCACAGACAACAAGAATCAATATAAGTCGATGAATCAGCTTAAGCACACAAAAATCAGAATAACCGATAACATCAACACCTATGATTGTAAACAGGCTCCCACTTCGGGTTACGGGTAGCATAGAGGAGACCATGTATGCACAGCCATACCTAATCAAAAAAAGGCTATATGGGTTGTTTCCAAAAGCTCCTTGATTCAAAATGCTATAACTGTTTGGTACTTCATAATAATAAGCACAAAAGAGTTATCTTTGGCTCTGTTGGAATGAAGTAAAAAATAATTATCCAATAGCCAAACCACACATATGTTTGAAAGAAACAAGCTTCATTATGTCATCAAAGTACCTTTTAGCTCAATAGAACTAAAAAGTGTAGTCTTACTCTTACCTCTACATTTCTCAAGTTGAGAGCAGCATCAACATCATCTGCTGTTAAAATTGTGCGCTTAGAGTGTCGCATGCATTTGATTGCCTCCTATAAAATTAGAAATCTCAATTCAGTTTCTTCTAAGCATACATTCCAACGCATTGTGATATGAGAAAAAAAAAAAAAAAAAATCATAAGTTTCAATTAAGAAGACATGAAGCTATTCAATGAGTCATTTTCAGCAAGATCATAATTCACAGGGCATCAAGTTACTTAAATTGACTAAATTAGCGATAATCACCCAAAATTTTGGTATTATATAAAAATTATCCAAATATAATTCAAAGAATGGAGCGAGTATATATAGAATTTCCTATTATTATTACACATATAGTTGATAAAAATTCAGACTTTCTTATTATGCTGCAATTAAATAAATACATAAACTTCGTGGCTCAATAGCTAAACACAAGCCAAATAGAGCATCAACAACACCGAACTGATCAAATGAACAGACAAGCCAATACTTTATGCTTCTTGATCATCTCTTTGACATACTCCACCACCCATCACTCCAATCCAACCGAAAATACCAAACAAGACTCGAATCAATCTCAATTACATTGTAGTATACAATCATATCTCAGCCCATCTATCCGATTCAACATCCTAATCTCAAATGAGACCTCAATTTGAACCACTGACTGAACCAACAACAAAACCCCAAATAAAAGCTCCTCAAATTCAACTCATTCACACAGTATAACCCACAATACACCCTGACAAGCTAAACATTGGTGACATTGGAGGCCAACTAGCTTAGTTTTTTAAAATCTTGGTGTAAAATCCAAGACCTCGGATCGAATCTTGCCTAAAAAATAAACATTGCTCACAAACTATCCAAAGAACTTCCTAATTTTTCTTCAAAATCAACAGTACTCCAAAATTCCCAATAGGGTTTACTTTGCATACAATTTAATAATAAAATAAAACACAAACAAAAATAATTAAAGGGTTTAATTAACAATTACCTGCATAATTTCTCGAACGCGATATTCAACATCAGGGGCAAGAGCAAGAGCAACATCCGGGGATAAATTATTGATGCCAATGCTTTGAGCTATCACTTCAATCGTCTCCTTTTGAATTACGCTCATCCCTTATTTGAATCAATCGAAAGAAAGAATTTTTGGGTGATTGTACAGAAATTAAAGGGAAAAAAATTAATGGGTATAATCAATTTAGGATTAATTTACTTGTATCACAAAACCCCACTTCAAATTTGCCCCAAAAACCTCAAAAATCTCTAATTTTTGGGTGGGTGTTTTAGCAATTGAGGAAAGAGAAAGATGGAAATTAATTATGCAGGATTTTTCGAATTTAAGTTCGTCAGCATAAGTAAAGAACTAAAGATTGAAGCTTGACTTGTTAGCGGGAATTAACAAGATTTTGGGTGTTAGAGAAGACGAAGAAGTTATACGGAGTAATTTATACCAACCTACCAGGGATTGAACTCTTTGAACTTTTAAAATGTTGTAAATCTTGTAATGTTAATAAAGGTTTATTTTTGTTACATAATCAGAAAAAATAATGTTGGAGTAATTTTTTAATACGGAGCTATTGTGCGTCTTAGTCTTTAATGTTACTCCATAATTTGATTGTATAGTTAAGTTTTGTCAACAATTACAGTTAGGTTATTTGATGTTAATTTGATTGTAAATACAAGTTCATGTCAATGGTTGTACTTGGTTCATAATTCATGTCAGTAAGTATAAATTTGCTAATTACTAATCATGTGATTGGTGGTCTTTCCCTTGCATAATAAAAACATTATGACTTGGGAGCCTCGGGCTCCTTGTGACCTAGCAAGTAGCAATGCCACGAGTCTGTAAATCACCAATTATTGTCTTTGTATGATGGTTTTAAACATGTTTCTCTCTTAAGTATAAGTGTATAACTACATCATATGTAGCCTTGTTTTCAAAGACCATAATATCACACTAAGACAAAATATAAGACCTAAAAATAACTACTCAAGTAACAAGCACCTCTTTTGTTACGAGTGCTTTCTAGGCGGCTGTATGGTGTATACTTTGCATACACAACAAACCTCACTACACACAATAACATTCACTATTAAATGGCACGCTTGTAGACAACAAAATTCGTATCTTTCGTGTACTAGCCCTTCAATAGTATTAGTAACGTTGGCTCTCTACTGATTTCATGTCCTGCCTTCGATCTTTCTTCCAATAGGTAAAGACCATAAGAATGTAGTGATCCTAATTCGTGTTATCATTACATGGCCAAGGAAAGGCAACACTTATATTGGCTCTCTGCTGTAGCCTCTCGTGTCAAATTGTATGACTAAAAATAGATTATTGACATTTTCTTATCCAGAAACTGAATCACCTTAGTCCACTATTAATGGGAACTTGAATGTAATATTTTCTCCCCACATATCTTGTTTTGATCAAAAATCCCTTGCATTCTTGTAAGCTTTTCGAACACTCATATTGCTTTAATCGTGTAGTTTAAGCATCGCATACAGCAGGGCAAACCAATCCATGACTTGACTTCACAAGAAGCAGGCAACAAAAAGGAAAAAGAAGAAAATAGAAGAATTCTCACAACATTACAATTTACATACACACACTTGATACATACAATCATAAATACTTTATCAACACAAAGATAGCAAGGATTAAAACTATAATCCCAGCAACTGACAGCAGTAGGCACAAGCAGGAACAACTACCCTTGGTTTTCTTGCTCAGAATTGCAAGACTCCTCGATATACGCTGTTCCCGTGATAACAAACCATCACAACAATACAGAGGTTCACTGGAGTTAGTAGCTAGCAATGAAACCAAATAATTAAAACATTCATAGAAGACTGCCATCATGTTCATTGCAAAATTAAAGAGATATAGTCATGAAAACTAACACCTCTTCCTTTCTTATCCAAACACTTAAATCTGATTACTCCATTCATCCAAAATAATAGTCACATTTACTATTTTTGGATGCCTAGAGCAAATTGTAAGTGTTTTTAGTGTAGTAATAGTTTGTCATTGGCTTTCACAAAATATCTTAAGATTAAATCTGCCGATTATATACCTATGATAAAGGGTCTTTAGAAAATTTGAGGCAGGTTTATTTACAAGGTATTGAGATAATGTTACAACCTTCCAAACCAAAGGGGCATTAAGTAATCCAATTTGCCATAAAAAAAATTGGCAGAACGAGCCCGAGACAGTGAGATGTAACATGGGTTTTCCCAACATTGCTATAAGATACAGATACAAACTCTTGTGTCTCCGTGAATAAAATGGATTGGGCAAGAAAAATGCTATAAAGGGAATACTAATGTAGTCTCAGTTAACACACAATGGTGACCCAGAAAATTAAAAGTAACCTAATGAGTTGTAAGTCCTCTCCACAAGAATTAATTTCACACTTGAAAAATTTTGTCAAAACAAATGAATAAAAAACAGACATTATCTAAATATAAGAAAGTTTCCACCATATATTATTAATCTGTATGTAAGACAAGGTAAAACTGTACTGAGAGTTCAGACACATAAATAATTATACCTACGCACTAGGGCACATGGAATGGATCTAATCTATAGAAAATCACATTAGCTAAGCTGGAAAGAGAACCGAAAGCTTTACAACAATTGGTTAGGAGAAACAATTCTAAGTTTACAATGTTCAGAACAAGCATATTATGGATGTCCTACATGGGGGCAGAAGATATCAAAAATGTGTCAATGAATGACCAAGGACAACACTGCCTGAATCCTTAAACACAACTCGGTAGCACTACATTAATTTGATGCTAAACATCGTTCAAATCAGAAAAGGGAACAGGAATTTAAATTAAGGGGAGATCACTACCTGCATTCGAGAGCCTGTAAATTCAACATGTTGATCCAGGTTATCCTGCCAGGATGACAATCACATAAATAATCAATTTATGCTAGCATTAGTAAATACTCCATAGTTGAACACTTGGAGTTCAAGAAACATTAAATAGGGGTTCTACAACAATCTAACTCAAAGGTAGAAACTGTACAATGAGTCTTGTGTGTAGCTCAAGTTCTTCATTCACAGCGAGTGCAATATGTTTTGTACTCATAACAGTCTCCTCCAACTGTTCAAGCCCTTCATCTTGCTCTGTCCAAATGCAAATTCAACATAAAAATTAAAATAAATAAATAACACACAGTAACAAAACGTGTCCCGGGAACCAATGGAAGCAGGAAAAAAAATAATAACTAAAACAAGTTCCCAGTTGAACAAGATTAAGCAACTCACCCTTCATGATTTGCCTTTGAAGACTAACAATGCCTTGATTATCCATCTCAGAAGCTCTAGTCACGGCATCAACAGACTTTGTCTCCGGCCCAAGTAAGCTGTCTCTGTTGGCAAAATTTGACATGTTCAAAGTGGTTGCCATTTGATTCGTCTTCGTTCTCAAGTTTGAAAGCATGTCCTTGCGGCGATTCAACTCTTTCTCTGTTCTGCAATGTCACAAGAAAGCACAATCTCCATGAGAAAATCTCTTGAATATCAATGTGTAAAGCAGAACCCAGTCACCCACCATGCAATTTGTCATACTTTAAAATACAATAGCTCCACCTACAGCCTACAGGGACCATAGGCGCTGAGAGGCACGAATCAAATAATTCCAGCATTTATATCATAATGCCTCTCACTGTCAGGTCTGTCACAGGGAAAAACAGCACATTACAGGAGGAATGCACCAAGGCACCAACAAACCTTATTCGTGACTCAAATTTACAAGGTCCTAAGCCATATGTCCACATGTATTGACTGAAGATCTGCATGGTATTAATTTTGTTCCTCACAAATTCTCTCAACTGTTGTTTATATCGGTTAAATCACACTTCTTGTCAGACCCTACTCCCTATTAAAACATAGCCACAAGACGTACAGGAGCCAGAGTGCCATTCTCCCTCCACCAATAACACTATATTGTATCATTGTATGACATTTGAAGAAGCCAATATCTTAAAAGGAGAGATGTCAGCTTAAGTTCGAGCTCAATGATAGTTAACAACACAAAAGGATACAATAAAATACAAGTTGATAGCTAATAAGTGGTAACAGAGATTGATAGAAGGTAAGGGCAAAAAAACATCATCATATATTAAAACACACACACACAGGGGGGGGGGGGGCAAGGCCTTCACCAAAACGGTATATTTTCATCCCTTCAGATAAAACCTAAAAGTTAAGACGAAATATTCCATAACAAAAGCTAATCTCTATCTCCTACAGCAAAAAATGACAATAAATCCATAACTTATCAACTTGAAAATGACAGAGACTCTAGATGAACCGAAACAGATCAGATACAGAGAAAATAAAAAGGACATTAAATGAGCCACATGCCACAGATGTTAGACGTATTCATTTAAGCTAAAGCACTAATTTAAGCTTTAAAATAAGTTGATGATAAAGATCCTGATATAAAGACTCACATAGTCTTCTTACTAGGAAGCTTAGATAACAGGGATTCTAAACTATCAAGTCTAGTCCCAAGGATTGTGATCTTTCGCCGTAAAGATGAAAAATGACGCTGTGAATCTGGTCCAGAACCTGACATTGCTGTTTTCTCTGATATCATGCCATTAATATCATCAGCTAATTTGGTCGCTTCATTGTACTCCTTCATCCAAGAGTCCCCAGATGTCGAAGCCATCAAACCTTATAAGAAAACAAAAGTTTATTGAGTATATTGAAATAAGAGTGGCATTAACTACTCTTCCAACAAAACAGCCTCAACACCCCCACACACACACACACACAAAACACAAGACTCAGAAACGGGAAAACCAACTTAAACATTTTGAGTAATTAATAAAAATTTCCTCAAAAAATAAAATACAAGTTAAAAATTGTGTCCTACTCCAAGACAAGGATATATGCATTCATAAACAAAATAATGTCATGACCAACGAAGTGAAATAATATTCTTAACAAAACAACATCAAATTTTGCCGAAATTACCTCAAGAAAAATGTTATCAACCTATAGATAAAACTAATCTAAACAACAACAAAGTCTTAGTCCCAAATTGGTTTGGGGTCGGTTAACATCGACAAGAAACTCCCGGTTGATCTCCTTAATATAAAGGGGATAATTTATCATACCGTCTACATAAAGTTCATGTTATATTTGTGCAGTTGTAGTTAAGTATACAATCGTGAAATCTTGATATATTTCAGAATGTCCACCAACTTAGACAGTTTTATTTATGCAATATTATGACAAATAAAATAATTTTTTTTAAAAAAAAAATCAAATCATCATGAATTCAACTTTACAATCATATCCATAATCCAAAAAGTTCCAGCAGTACTAATCAATAATTCAAATCAACCCAGAAAAAATAAAATGATCATAATAAAATAAAATGAAATCTTGAACAATGCAAGTTGAATTGAGCTAACAAAATCGAACTTATAGAAGCTAAATTGATACAAAACAATCAAATTACAACAATCAAATATAAAAATGAACTGGGATCAAACAACAACAGAGTAACAACAGAATTAACAAAAATTAAAAAGTTAGAATTTTTAAAAAGGTGTTTACCTTCTTATAGATTGAATTTGGGAAATTGAGTGATTAATTGAAGAGAGAAAAAGTGGAGACAGCGTCTTCGAAGAAGAAGATGAAAATGATGATGAAAGAAGTTTGGAGGAGAGAGAAGGGATGGTGGGGTGAAGGGGAAAGCGAGGCACGTCGTGACTCGCCACCGCTTTGAGCACAGTTTTCTTTAATTTAGTCTAATCATACGAGTTTAGTGGCTCTTCGCTGCCTTAAACGACGTCGTTTTATGGGTTTTTTTTTCAAATTATTTATAAAAAAAATTGGAAAAATAGTCACATAAGGTCAACGGATGTTGTCAAAGCTTAGATTTGTTTTTGTTGACAAGAAGCAAACACACACAAAAACTAAAAAATCAACAAAGCAATTGTCAACGACAAGCCTAAACAACCAATCAGTGACCCGGGGCAACCCACTAACAACGAACCTTATGAAGTTTGTAGACAAAGATTTGCAAGAGAGAAAGCCAATATCATGAAGCAACCAGAGGCAAGAAATATCGTCGTTGCCACCATCCCTCATAAAAGAAAAAAGATTCGAATGGTCAGAGTAGATAAGAAGACGACGAAAGCCTTGATGACCAGCAACCCGAAAAGCCCAACAACACGCCTGTAATTTAACTCAGACTGAAGGGCCAAAGAGGAGTGACATGCTCTCGAGCAACCACCCAACACAGAATCTGGAAAAAAAAAATCCCTAAAAATCCAGCATGCTCCTGCGCTAAGATGCTGACCACTCCAAGCCTCATAAAAAAGAAGGCAGATGTCAAAAGCAGAGGAGGAGTCAACCTGCAAATAGCAAAAAGCAGAAGCTGCCGAAATATGGGGAGAAGGTTTCCCTAACGAGCGGACGAGGGATTGCGCCGAAACACTTCTAGAGATCCATTCCTACACTAAATAGATAACCAAGATAATGAGACAACACTACCAGTCTAAAAAACTTGTGGTTACGCGACTGCCTAACAAAAGGAGACCAAACCGTCCCAATTCCAAGAGGAACGAAACTTAAAGAGAAAGAGAATTTGTCTGCGAACCAATCAGCAAAAGGTTTTTCTTGCAAATGGAGAGAAGAGAATGCAACCGGAGCATAAGCCCAAAGCTGAGAAGAGAAAGAAAAATCATGGAAGTGGTCTGACGTTTCACGTTCCTGGTAACTATACATATAAGTTGTTGAACTATCGAATCCCCCGAAGCTGCATATTCCTAAAGAGAGGCAGAACATTGTGAAGTAATTCCCAATAAAAACACTGGAGTGTTAGCAGAAGAGACAAACCCCAAGAAATATTTCCACCAAGAGGCCGGAAATTTAAGAGTATGATGCATATTGCATAATATACAATTCATATGACATACCAATGATACAATTTAATCTAAAAAAATGTTCAATTCAATACAATATAACATGGATCAATAATTATGTTCAATTCAATATAAAATAACATGTTTCAAATAAAGAGTATATAAGCTTATTAAGGAATGCTTTTCAAACAATATACTACATCTTTTTTGCTTGGGAAAATTGCTACTTAAGATAGATAGCAATTCTATCAATCTTAAGTATTGGTTAATGCAAGTAAAACTTGTATTTCAAAGTAGCAATTTTAATTGGAATTAAAACATAACAGTCTAACAGGTCTCTTATATATGTGTTTCCAAGTTTTATTCTCCATTTGGTCAATACTCAATACTTCAATGGTTTAAGTAAAGAAACAACCGTTTGATATATTAATTTAATTAGAAATTATTGAATTTTAGGTGATAATGCTACTTAATGTAGTAGTTTTACCTGATAAAATCATGAGCTTAAATATCAATCTCACTAAAGATGGCACTAGGCAAAACATAACCAAGCTTGGACGAAAAAGCATGGTATAAAATGTTATTATTATGCGTGATGAGCTGTGCACTGACTTAATTTGGACAAGAAATACTAATAGACCATCTTAATCAAAAGTTTAAAAGTAATGTATGTTGAGACTCGATAATAGGTTTTATTCACACATCCTCATATGACAGGGTTCCACCTTATCAAACGAGTAAGATGCCACATTGAAAGGAAAGGTCTTTTTATCACGCTGGCGTTAGTTTGATATCAAATGAAAGGACCAATTCAACCCAATTGTTAAGTAGATTTTATACTATATCATCAAGAAGTGTAACAAGACACAACATAACCCAGCATGAAAAAACACAAGAAATTATGTTACTATGCTTGCTAAGTCATGGGGTGTCTTTATTGGAAGAAACACGATTAAACCACACACCGGATGACATGTCCTAACTTGAAAACAACAAAGCACATTAATTTTGTGAAATTGGACAGGCATAGAAGATTTGGTTGGATTTTTTTTCTTAATTTTTTTTTCTAATTGTGTAATTCTCTTTTTATTGAACATAAATCATACAATTTGTTTGATCCACATCTTATACTACATACGGAAGTATTATATTTTTTCGTAGACAACTTATGACCTGTTTACATTTACTTAATTTCAGTTCAGTTCAGTTAAGCTTCAATTAGTTCAATTCAATTAAGCTTTAATCAGTTCGGTTCAGTTTAGCTCCTACTTTCCCCCTCACATAAAATATTCATTTCAGCTCAATTCAATTTAGTTCAGTTAAGTAAATGTGAACATGCCCTTAATTACAAAATACCTTAATTATTAATTTTTTTATATGGAGTAGTTATTTAATAATTTGACCTAATTTAATTATAATGTCGTCTTGTAATTTACTTTGATTAAGCTCATGTCAAAAAAATAATGAAATGTCAAAAAGTGATGAGTTAGAATGATGATCAATTGAATTAGTGATGCTAAAGAGATCTAAATTAAATCTCTTGAAAATATAAAAAGGAAGAAGAAGAAGAAACAAATCCAAGAAAAAGAAAACAAAAAACATAATAAAAGAATCAAGAAAAATAAAAATAAAAAAAGAGAGTGCTTGTTTCACTAAAAAAGAGCGTATTTTCTCTCTCCTCCTTCTACTCTTCCCAAATCTGCTCCTCCTCTCCTCCATTGTTACACAGAGGAGAGAGAAAATAGAGCATTTTTAGAGAGAGAAAGTGAAGAGGTGGATGGGAAGATGTCAGACCTTGACAGGCAAATTGAGCAGCTAAAAAGGTGCGAACCCTTGAAAGAATCTGAAGTGAAAGCACTTTGCCTTAAAGCCATGGAAATTTTAGTCGAAGAAAGTAATGTTCAAAGGGTTGATGCTCCTGTCACTGTTAGTCTCTCTCCTCTTTTCAATTTCTATTTTAAAGCTTCAATTTTTCTGGGTTTTGTTTGTTTTTTGCTCATCTTTTCTGGGGTGGATTTCTGGTGTTTTTTGTTTGATTATTGGATTTGTATATTTATTGTTGTAATTCTAGTTGTTTTGCCACTAAATTTTTCTGGGATTTGTTTATTTTAGCTCATATTGGGTGAATTTTTATATGATTGGAATTGTATAAGCATGGTTGTAATTTTAAGTGGAAGCCTTATTTAATGATTAATTAGGGGAAATATGAGAGAAAAAGCTGATTTTTCAGTCTATATTAATGGTTTTCATTGGGGTTAAGCTTAGTTTCTTGTTTGAGTTGATATGTTCATGATGGGCAAATTTAAAGTGACAAATTTTGATGGTTGAGAGTCTTGCGACTGATAACATAGTGAAGTATTAATAGTTGATTGGGGACTGAATATTTTGGTTTGACTCTTGGCCTGTTTTTTGTTTCCCTCTTCCAGCTTGGATTGCGGGGTTGTGATAAAGATCATACAAAGCTAATGTATATAGTGTCATTTGCTTTCTACAGCAAAAGTTAGAGTTAGGGGTATGTAGGAGATAGAGAGTAATAGTATATTGAATTCGAAGCTGAGGTTTAGTACTTGAACATGATGGGAAAGGCAGAAAGAAGAAAAATAAACAAATCCTGATGCTCTTTAATTGTATAGAAGTTTGAGCTGGATTTTGGTAGAAGTTGAGAAGTTGATTTGGAGTAGTTAATGTTCCTATAAGTATCTCTCAGGGATCTTAGTAGGATGGATTTTGGTCCAATAAGATCTTGGCTTGGTAATTTAGATGAGGTTTGGGTACATTAAGCTCTCGGGATGATGATAGTTTTTTTTTGTTTGTCAAATGTTATTTGTGTCTATGATAGATTGGCGGCACACATCCTATAGCTTTAGGGTAGAGAAGTATGTATAGACATCTACAAAAGCTTCTATCTTTTTTCTTAATAGCTTTGTGACAAGATAAATGAAACTTCAGTTGATGGTTGTAACAAAAATTCACAAGTCCTGCATATAAGCCCTAATTAGGAAGATGATGTTTTGTAGATACCATCTTAGGGGTCAATTACTTGAAAAAATCCTTTTATTCAAAGAATCTGAATTTCCTCCATAACATTTGGAGGTAGCCCAACTGGTTGAAAATTTGGAATTGGGACGTTGAACCCGGCGCCCAAAAATCATGAAGTGGCCCAAAGCAAGTCAGCATTTAGTGCAGGTCGCTTGCAAACATTAAGTAGTTAGTCTATGGTTAGCATTGAGGTCAACATTGTGTAGCATGCCTAGAATGTAGTAACAAACTTTGGATGGCCCTATGGCCATATTGGCCAATACCATCATTAGTGTAGTTCATGGCTAGTGTCAAAACAAGCTAAGCTGAGTAGGGGCATTGATTCATGTCAAGCTCACGATGGCGAGGCTATTTAGTGTTCTCGCTGACAAGCTCACACATGTATGCTGTATGCAAAGTCTGATGCGTGTGATGCTTTGCTACAAGAAGATTAAAGTTATGCCTTTCTGGCATCTATGCTTCGTTACTTCAAGTACAAGCCATTGTTTGTGCAAATAAAGCTTGCATAGATCTTGTGCTCAAATCCAAAGCCTAAATACCAACGATATAGCTCTTCTGTCAAGAATGCATTTTGTGAACAACTGGCAAACAAGCTGTCCAGTGATAGAAACTAGTCACCCATCGTCCAATTTGCTAAGGGCAGCATAATTGGGAGGCTGGAGGCTGATTTATTCAGCTCTAGGTCAGTGCTACCTGGAATTCTGGAAAATCCATTAGTTGGTGTGTTGGACACTTCATCAACCTGGAAAATATTCTTTGACTTGATATCAAATGATTAGCTCTATAGGAATTAGAATCAAAGCTGTAATGTCCTAATATTTGATTAGCGTAGCTTGTTCTCATCTTAATTTATGAGAAGAGCTCAAATGAGCTAACTGAGGTTAATGAGGCTTTTTTTGGACTACAAAAAGTGTCTATGCTGTTGTTCTATACCAAGTAATTTGTAGGGGTGTGTTGTTTGAAATAAGTTTTCTAGTATTTATATTCTTCTCATTCATTGGTTAGCAGCCTGTATTTGTGTAAGAAATATGCCTTGAATATGATTTCGGGTCTTGGAGTGGTGAGCGTCAGCGATAGCTCGCAAGGTAGCTTAGTAGTTCGTAGGCAATTGTGAAGTTGCGACGAAAGTGAAGCTATAGCTCCTAGGCGAGCGAGCTATAGCTTGCGGAGCTATTTAGGTATGGCTGGGACTAGCGAGAGCTCACTCAACAGCTAGCGAAAGCTCGGTCGCGCACAACACAAGAAGTCTGGAAGTTGCGCAACGAGGGTCAATGCAACTCTCAGAGTTGCGTGCGACAATTTAATGCTGAGGCGGTCAACGTTTTTCTGCTCGTCTATCTATCTTATTCCGGAGTGCTAGCCTATATATATACTTCCCTAGGGTTATTCGTAGTCGCATGATGTGAGAGTCTTTTGTGTATTTCTCATCTGTGAAATTCGAGAGAGATAACATTAGAAATCCGAGAGACAATCAATCTGCTTTTGGTGATTGGTCTCAAATCTGTTCTGAATCTGTAACTCCAAAATCAATAAAACTATTGCTCTCGCCTGCCTATGGACGTAGCCAATGCATTGTTGGTGAACCACGTAAAATGTGTCTGTTTTTCTTGTTAATTTTGCATTCAATATTTGTTCTTTCTTGCATCTGTTATAATGGTTCTTCATTTTTTATATGATTTGTTAGCATGGGATGTACTTTAGAATAATTGGTGATGTCTCTTTCAATGCTTTCACAGATATGTGGTGACATTCATGGACAGTTTTATGATATGAAAGAACTGTTCAAGGTGGGTGGTGATTGTCCAAAGACAAACTACTTATTTCTTGGAGATTTTGTGGACAGAGGATTTTACTCCGTGGAGACTTTTCTACTCCTTCTTGCCCTTAAGGTATGTTATAACCTTGTTTTTTTGGCCTTAGTTTTTTTTGCTAGCTTAGTTGTCAGATGAGTATTATTGCTTAGCTAAAATGTGCGAGATGCTAGCTCTTTTTGTGAATGTACATGATGGTGATGATGAGCTGATACCCATTGATTTTTTTTTTTTTTCATAGTATATTGCAAATCAACATTCCAAATAGTCCAGTTTAACAAATGCCCCGGGGAAAAGTACACATACTTCAGTTGCTTCTTACATCATGATGTAAGTTTAGTTTCTTGCTGTTAGTGAGCCAATTCAAGATGGTTATAACCCAGCAACAACAGGTGCTGTGATTTTACAAATTACTTAAATGTTATTAGAAAACAGTTAGACAGGATTTGATCCCTCCTATGCAATGGCAGAACTGGGGAAAATAAATTATTAATTTTATTTTGGGGTGTGTGTGAGTGTGATTTTGAGCGCATGACCTCTTGATTTTGAAAAAGTTAGTTTTACCATGATTACTTGTTTTCTCTTATGTTTTATAGGGTAATATTTTATTCATAATATATTAAAATAAATCCAGGCTGGTCACCTTGGTCCCCCACCTGCCATAGGGAGTTTTGGCACTCCTATTTAATTATGTACTAAGACTAAAATTACAGTGCTGACCAATCTGATATTCTGATGCGCTTCCAACAATGATCAAAGTTACAACCATGTATATCTCATCTGTATATGCGATTGCGGAGGTGGTAATTCTTGAATCTGTTGAGACCTGGCCTTAGGTGTGACCCTTTTTATGTTAGCATTGATGTTGTGAGTAAAAATGGTTATTCTCCAATGTAAGCCATTGGTCAGTTCTTCTGGATGATTTGCACTCCTAGAAAGCAAAGGGAACAGGGTGTGATGCTGGGTACTTTCTTTTCACTCATTGTTCTTACGTCTCCTCAAGAAAAAGCTACATGGCCACTAATATGAGTGATAGGTCTGCAGGAACAATTAAAAACAAACTACTTCTGCAGTATGTCATCTATTTTTGTGTGATAACTGGCTTGATTTTATAGCCATGCTCTGGGTTCTCTTTATTTGTATGTAGTTAGCATCATTTATATATAAAGCCTTTGAAGAACTGCTCAATGCAATACATGATGAAAATGAATGAGTGTTTTCTTTATGGGTCATGTGGCTGAGAAAAATCCATATAAGGAAGCACAAGCATCCAAGAAGAAGCTGCTTTCTATGCATTTGTTTGATGAGCAAGAAACTAATGTCTTGGTTGAGATTCAAGTCAGATTGTGAGATTCTTTTAAAGATTCAGAATTTTCTATGGTGTCGTGATAGCCTGTTATCCATCCTTGACCAAACCAAGCTAGATATGAAGCATTTTGTATGTTGTAATTGAAAAGCCTTGGAAAAATGTCCTGTAGGATTAGATGAAGCTGTCTGCTACAAAAAATAATTATCGATCAAATGATTTTAGGGGTTCATGTTAAGATTGTTGTCTTAGGCTTCAGAATCCTATTAGATCATACCTCTGAACTGTGTTATGTCCCAAAATACAAACCTCTTCTCCTGCCTAGACCTGCAACCTGAGTTTGAGTTGACTATGTGTCTTTCATGCAACTGTAACATCTTCTTAATGGAAGTTTCTTTCAACTTCATTCCTGACTGTTATATCAAATCCTATTCCCATCTTTTTTTTAGATTATTTTATTATGATGTAACAGAAAATGATGTTTTGTTTTGCTCAATAATTAAATTCTTCAGTCAAGAATATGACTTCGTAGTCATAGCCCTCATAGGCGAGTGATTTGGCCCATAGAAACAAGGACTTGGAAAAAATTGTTGATACTATGTCAGCGTCTATATTCAGGGGAACCAAAGATTCACCATCTCTGGTTCAGTGTACTAAATTAAAACAGGTTATTAAAAAATGCTTAAGCTTCTTGTTATAAAATAGCAACACAGCTGTTATGTATTCTGCATCAGATAAGGGTCCTTTCCCTACCTTTAGAGGCCACAGAGTAATAGTTATGTTAACTAATATTTGGCCAATACGGCAATTTCTTTCTTCGTTTGAAACTTGAGATTGCTAGAAGCAGGACTTTGACTTGAATCAAAATAATTGTCTAATGACGAAAGTATATTGAATAGAACGTGGAATATAAACACCAAAGGAGACTCAATAAAGATGTGCTTTTAGGGGAGAAATAAGGCTTCTTCACTGAAGAGAATAGGATCCTCTTATCTTTTAATGTCAATCATTATAAACTTGTTTGGAGGATTATAGTTATTTAGTGGAAGCCAGGAAAACAGGAATGTGCTTATATTTCTATTGTGTGTCTAAATTTCATCATATAAAATTAATTGTTTATGAAGTAAGGTTTCTTCTATCATTTTCTTACTGATTAGTTTGGAAACTAATCGTTTGTGTAATTATAGGTGAGATATCCAGATCGGATCACTCTTATTAGAGGGAACCATGAAAGTCGTCAAATTACTCAGGTTGTTTTTTGTGTCACACCTTATTTCTGGCTCATTTCAGAAGTGCTGTTTGGTGACTGATTATCCTTTGCTTCCCAGGTTTATGGTTTCTACGATGAGTGCCTCCGTAAATATGGCTCTGTGAACGTTTGGAGATATTGCACTGATATATTCGATTATTTAAGGTTTGACTTCTTTGTTAAATTTATAAGTAAATTAAGATTGCACAATGATTTCTGAGTCAATTGAGAATGTGCAATGATGTATTGATGTTATTGTCAAGAGTCAAAGTGTTGTTTATTATTTTATTTCCGCCTGTCTTTCTTGTAGCCGTGGTTTTGGCATCCACTTGTACTTCTGACTTCTTAGTAACTTTATTCTATGACAGTCTATCAGCTCTCATTGAGAATAAGATCTTTGGTGTTCATGGTGGTCTATCTCCATCCATAACAACGTTAGACCAGGTTAGAAAATATATTCATATTATTTTTCATTTATTTTGGCTCCTGCTGGATCTTCTCATTGATGTATTGTTCAGATACGGACAATTGACAGAAAGCAAGAGGTACCACATGATGGTGCCATGTGCGACCTCCTGTGGTCTGACCCTGAAGATGCAGTTGATGGTTGGGGAATGAGTCCTCGTGGGGCTGGTTACCTTTTTGGTGGCAGTGTGGTTACCTCATTCAACCACACTAATAACATTGATTATATATGTCGTGCCCATCAATTGGTAATGGAAGGTTTCAAATGGATGTTTAACCATCAGATTGTTACAGTTTGGTCTGCTCCAAATTATTGTTATAGGTAATTTTGAGATTTATAATCATGTTCCCATTCATTAATTGCCATTCAGGCCATGATATAGATAACTAACACTTTGTTCTTTGGCGGGGACATTCTAGATGTGGTAATGTTGCTGCAATACTTGAGCTTGATGAGAATCTTAATAAAGAATTCCGAGTTTTTCAAGCTGCTCCACAGGTTTGTACATTTGAATATCTGATCCTGCTGTTTCTTGTTCAGTGTATACTGTAGGCTGTTTGGTGACGGTAGTTGCTACTGTTCACTCCTGGCCGGAAGCCAGTGACTTGTGTTTGACTTTTAGGCCGTGTTTTGAACTTTAGCTTCAGCACAAAAGAGCTATATATTCTGGTTCTCACGGGGAAGAGCACCGGTTGAAACTAATCATGAGAAGATGGCTTGCAGACCTTTAAGCTAACTTCTCATGTTTCATTTTCATTAATGTCGATGCTAGAAAAGTTAAATGTTAGCTTAATTTTTGTATCAAACATAGTGCAGAACTTGCTGAGCTTCTTGTTGGGAGTTTGTTCTTTAATACTTCGTATATGGTAATCAGCTGAGCAGAAAGACGTACTGATGAATTTGATGAACCTTTGCTGGTTAAGGTTTAAGCTATTAGAAAACTTAACCTTGAAAGCTGCAACCATGTTATGATGTCTTGGCCCTTTAGTTTCTGAAACTACTTCCTCATGACCTTATCAAAGTAGAGTTATACACTTGGATGCTTCAAATTATGAGGATGCTAGGTACAGTTCTAGGCTCTGTGTAGCCTGTATGGATGGCTGGATTGATTAGACATTAACAAGATTTTGGCCAAGTGAAAATGTTGGGTGTATTGGACAGTAATTTAAATATATTTTAGATGCAAAAGCCATTTAACTATCACACCTGAAGTCACCAAATGAGAAAAAGTCGATAGGGAATATGGGTTGTTGGTCAAAATGATGAATGGGTGCATACTGTGATAAGCAAGAGTCAATGAGATACACTTGTGATCTCACCCAAAAGATCTGTAAATTAAATAGAGTAAATTGTTCTGATTGAAATAGGAAACTAAATATCTTCTAGTCAAAGTGAGTGTCTTACGTACTTTTTTACATTTGTATGCTCACCAAGGACTAGTTTAGCAAGCTTCCCTTGGGTGCTAAGCCTCAACACCTTTTGGTACTAAGTAATCTCTCACTTAAACTGCTGTAACAAAATAAATTGCCCCTCTTACTGTGCCTTGTAGTACTGTTTAGGAGTGCCTGAATACCTGATAAATGTAGCCTTGTTAGTCCCAATAAAATAAGCTTTAAAAATATGCGATCTTTAACATCCTTTTGAAGAAATGATATGAAGTGTATCTCACTGTTTTGTGCTTTGATACAGGAAGCTAGAGGAACTCCTGCTAAAAAGCCTGCACCGGATTACTTTCTCTAAAGATGTTGCAGGTCATGGTATACTCTGGTCAATCAGCGATTATTTAATTGTGGTTGTGAAGCTGGTACATACGAAGCGAATGAAACAATGATTCGGCTTTTTGAAGGAGCTGAGCTGTCAATCTGGGTTACGTGTGAATTTTGGGCAGTACTCGGAGCCTATTCTGCAACTGTACTGTCTGTCAGTTATCGCATGTACTTGTAGTTATGTACTGTGGAATCAAATATGGAGCTGCCCAACTCCTGTAAATCCGCAACATGGTAAAGAGGAGGGGTAGTTATGGTGTGTGAATGATTTATAGTTTGAAATAGGCCTCATTGAGATACTTAGGTGGAAAATTACACAGCAATTTCCAATGTCATTTTTGATTGTTTTGGGGAAACATTTGAAGCAAATTGGCAGTACAACGAAATGCATCATTCATTTCTGCTGTACCTTTTATAACCAATTCATCTTTTACAATGGTAACTTGACATATATCTCAACATTTTAATGTCCTCAGACCCTGCATCTATGAGAATTTTTACTGATCAAGTATGTTCGGTCTAGTGGTAAGAGATTGGCTTTGTGACCCAGGTCACGGGGTTGACTCCCACCCGTGGCTCTTGGGGTGGATCCCTTTTCTTCCCCTCACTCTCAAGAGTATGTGTTTTGACAGGCATGTTTATACTGTGCATTATTCTTGCAGGTTATAAAAAAAGAACCACGAAGCATTGATACATTGAATATTTTTTTCCAATGTTGAGTTTACTGCTCTTACATAATACGAGTATCATGCATATCACAGATTCTTTTGGTGCTTATAAAAGAATGTCTTGTTTATTGAAAAATCTGACTATTTACCGTAATGAAAATACTCTATTTCTAAAATCGACATAGAATCAGACTCCCAACTTTTACTATTCTTGTATGTTGTTTCTTGTGGCAAATACTCATTGATTAGGAGTAAAGATGAGAGCGTCTAGATTATCAATATCCACTTTCTTTGAATACGTCGAGTCTGATAGAATGAACTCAATGAACTAATTGAACGATTAGTAATTTTGTCAAAGGTAAAAGAATTTGTTCAAAAAATAATTACATTGTCCACCAAACTAATGCCACTGTAACATATCTGCCAATCAATTCCTCAATAGAAATGAAATCCAAATGTAAATATGATATAAGGTTCATTACTTCATTTCTAAACATCCATCGACCCACATTCGAGTACAACATTGTCATTCATTAAGAGCAAGTGAGCCATGTGATAATCAACCACGAATAGATCATATGACCCTTTCTACGAGTCGAATTAACTTGCTCATAAACCATAACAATCACAGTCTAAACAGAAGTTAGGTTTACAAACTAAGAAGGCCATAAATCTGGACCCCATAATTCAAACATTCCAACATCCCAACCAGAACGCCAGGAAAAGGAAGTGTCGTTAAAATTAGTGAAAAATGCACGTGAATGCTCTTCTGGCCACGACCAGGAAACATCACGAGAAGCCGGAGATCTGAATTTTGGTTTGCTTTTTCAAAAAGAATATTTGCACTCCATCTTACTTCTAATTCAAGGTTAATACACTTGACTAATATTTTCCCATTTGAGGTCAGTCTTTTTTTTAATTCCAAGCCCCAATCTTTTGGCAATTTTCTTCGTTAATCTTTCTATTTGAGTTCAATTTGGGGTCTTTTGAGATCTGGGTATTGGTTGATTGTTGCTAAATTGGTCAATTGAAAGCAAGATTGAAGTGGGTTTCTTGATTATTATTTGCTGGAAAGTTGATTTTTGTTATTGTTGTTTATAGAATTTTCTGGGGTTTTTGTGGTTTAGATGAAAAAAACTTGGAGATCATATGCATGTGTTTTGGGGGTTTTGAAGAATCCCAATAATGTTTGATGTTTGGGTTATTTTGAGACCTGGGTTTTGTCTTTAGTTGATGCTTTTGAGGAGAAATTTGGAATTTTTTGCCTGACCTCATGAGTTTGTGGAATTTCAAGGTTTGGAAATTATCTCATTCACCTTTTAATTCCTTGATTTGTAAGTGTCTTGCTTTGGTTGTTGCTGCTTTGGTGTTTAGAGCTGTTCTGTTCCCCAATTTTTCTGGGGTTGATGTGAGAGGGAAGCTGGTTGTGAGTGATATTCATGCTCGGCCATTAGAAAAGGATTCGGATTATGGGATTCGTCGAGGCAAGTATGTGGAGGTTCCACAAATTGTTTGGGGGTTAAACAATCAGAAGATAGCATTTGCTAGGGCGTGCCTCACTGCCCGAATGCTAAACCGGACCCTTCTGATGCCGAGTCTGAGTGCTTCATTGTTCTATAAGGAAATAGATCAGTTGCAGCCCATTTCATTTGATAAGGTGTTCCAATTTAGGAAGTTTAATTCTCTCTGCAATGGGTTTGTTCGGTTGGGCCGGTACTCAGAGCTGTTGAATCAAACTGAAGTTCTGGAGCTGCAGAAAGGGAGTGGAAGAAAGTGGACATTGGTGAGAGACTTTGATCAATTAAAGGAATTCAGCAGAGACCCGTATGATCAGTATGAAGTCATACGCATCATAGGGAAGAACCCATTTCTCTGGCATGATCATTGGTCTGTGAAGGACTATGCTAAGGTTTTTGAGTGCTTAGCTTTAGTTGACGAGTTTGCAAAAGAAGCAGATCAAGTTGTTTCTAAGATTAGAGCTGTAGGGGCAGAAGCAATAGGCAATCAATTGGCGCCTGAGCTAGGTCAGGGTGCTAATAGGGACAGATCCAAGTTGCAGCCTATGCCTTATATGGCTGTTCATATGAGGATAGAGAAAGACTGGATGATTCATTGTAAGAAGCTAGAGCAAAGAGCCAATATCAATGAAATTTGTAGCGGAAGGAAGAAATTATTGAACGAGTAGGGAACATTAAGGAGCTGAGCACACCAACAGTTGTTTACCTAGCTGTTGCAGATAGTCTTTTGGAAGACAAGACAATATTGAATGGCTGGCAAGAAGGCTTGCTTCCTTTCGAGAAAAAGAAGCTCGGTGTTAGTCAGATTTATGACAAATACCCATATCTTATCAAGTCAGCAATCGACTATGAAGTATGCTTAAGAGCAGATGTTTTTGTGGGGAACAGCTTTTCTACTTTCTCTAGTCTCATAGCACTTGAGAGGACACAGAAGATGATTCGTATGGGAGTTTCAAGTTCTTGTAATAACAGCATAAGATGGCCTTCATATGCCTACAATATAATGGGGGACTTTGGTGGTCCAAGAAAGTGGCTGACAAATATGTCAGACACAAGCCTTCAAGCTATTAGCTATGGTTCCAATCATGTCACATGCTGAATGTCTTGCCACACTGGTCTTGAACGTACATTCCTTGATTTGTGCACAACATTCTTGGTATACTGATTGCTGGTATGATCGGAAATCTTAATTTGATTTTTATTGAAAGGAGCAGATAGCCTGGGGCATAACATACTATTGTGTACTCGAGCTATCATTTGGGATATGCATTGCGAGTAGCTTGTTATTGATGAGGTCACCAAAGGAATTCTGTTTCCAGCTTCATGGAATTTACAGGTTTTACTGTTGGGAATAGATATTATTTTATTGCATTTCCATTCTTTGATACTGTTTTTTCTTTTTCTTTTTTTTTTCCCCGGAAGATGTACGTAAAACAGTAGTACTTAAAAGTTACCTTTGTATATCCAGGATTAGATATATTTTCTTGCTTTTCCATTCTTTGAGGCTGTTTTTTGTTGAAAGATTTACCTAGAACCTGAAATATGACCTTTGTATATCCTGTACACTTTACTTATACTGGTATGCTGCAATGGCATTATAATAAAAAAGCTTTGCTACGCTGCATTGATAAATTAATGATCTTTTATTCTATAAGGGATTGAAGATTAAACTTAATTTTCTCCCTGTTAAAACTTGTTGACTGTAGCCTTCAAAGTCTTCAGGTTTGTGCACATTGATTCTGCTGTCATATCATTTGATTGCTGTTTGTGCCTAAAAAATTCTCTGCTTTTATTGATTGTAGTTCAGTCCTTTATTCCCCTCTGAGCAGGATTTCTGTAGCCTTCAAAGTCTTCAGGTTATTTCTGTGAAGTTTCTATGTTGATTTGCTAATGTTCAGTTGGTTGTGAATAACTGAATGCAACTAGTAGTTTAATTTTAGGCATGTCATCCATTGGTTTGGAGCTTAATTTGTTATATCATGCCATCATGGGGTATTCGGGTAAGATCTGAAGATAGATTCATGGTTTCTATTTTCTAACTTTCTATACCACATAGAAAAATGCTGACTTCATATATATTTTTTTTCCATTTTATTTATACAGAACTGTACCTTTTCAAGTAGGTATAGAAGTTGTTTAAACTTTTTATGATTTTTTATAGTTCTTGATCTTGCTTTAGAAGAAATTGGTAATGCTGAATTGAAATGCATTATGCATGATGAGTGGTAAATTATCTCTCATGTTCCTTACCCCTAAAAGAAAATGGTAGTTTTGACTATTGATATACCCAGCAACGTGCCATTTAATATTAATTGATCATGGCATACTGAAAGAACAATTGCTAAGTTGGATCTATGAGAACTTTTTTCTTTTCTCAACTTAATATACTCTGTACTTTTTTTGAATGGTTAGGGATATAGGGGTGGGTCGGCATACAGTTCAACCTTTTTAAGCCCTGCTGGTGGCAGGGGCTGTGTTGGGGATTGGGGTAATAGGATTCTAGTTGTTGCTGCTGCGTTTTTTTTTTTTTTTTTTTTGTGTATTTTTTTTGTTTTATTTATTTATTTATTTTTAATAATATATATTGTTCGTCTGTTTAACACAAGAACTGTAGATGCATCTTTGTGTGGGTGCATATATTTTCCAAAGGGGGAGGCAGGGTAACATTTTTGTGGTGTTTCAACTTTCAACCTAATTATGGAACATCTAGTTTGGCACTGTTTGGTGGCTGGCTTTGATTGTTTTGTTTCTTCATGACATGAGAAGCAGCCTAAAAAGATGTTTTGTAATTTTTATTTTTCTCCAGTTGCTTTAAAGCTAGCTTTTTAAGCTGACTGGTATAGCTGTAAATAAGTAAATTCTTTTGTGTATAAATTTTAAAGTTTTAATCGGCTAACTTCCAATAGCTGGCTTCATCAAACATAATTATAGCTAAAGCTACCAGCAGACTAAAAGAATATATGTAGCTACTAACAGCTGGTTAAGCAAGCCAACTGCCAAAAATTAACAAACTGCAAACCAAGGCCTTTGTCTGATTACTGTGATATAGTACATCAGTTTCAGTTTATGTGGCTTTTATGTTTTAGTTTAAACTATAAATCATGGATATATTTCTGTGCAACTGAGGTATCATGCTGTTTATGCCGAAATTTCGATACTGTATTCCATATACATTTGTTTCTGCTGTTTTGGTTCAAGATATTGGCTTACAGGCTCTTGAAGCCATCTGTAGTTTATTGTGATTCTATTGTCTACAGGATTTCAGAACTGCGCAATGTTTCAATCACGCCATTCAAACTGGCTTTTGAATAGACTCGACTTGGTGAAAGCTGTGTTAATCCTGGATAGCAAGCAACAGGTCTAAGAGTTTGCGTTGGACTTAAAGTGTTCCCCTTGTATGATGACTTGGTTATTTGGAGCCATCTTTCATTCAGATAAGTTTTGTTTACTTCTTTCTGTATTATGCACCTATATTGAACATACTGAGAATATGTCGTAGTACATATTATTTATACGAAGTTATGAACTTGTACATAGTATAATTTGTAGCTAACTCATGTAAGCCAAGTTTCTATTTTCTGATGAGTAGTCAAGTCCCGTGAAATTTGGTCTATAATGTGCTGCAGGCCTGCAGCTCTGCTGCTAACCTAAGCAGTAGTTACTTTTGTCTAGAAGTTTAAATCCTCTCTTAAACTGAAAGAGACAGCTTATGCCAGAATGACTCTTTAGAATGATACAAATTTTTATACTTGTATAACTTATGCTTAACTGATTTTTTGGAATGCAAAGGCAAATTTCATGAATTGATATGCACTACGAGGGTAGAGGGATTGATTCTGGATAGGAGAGCATCTTAATTTTTTCTTTGATAGGAATATAAAGGAAAATAGAAAGAAGATAAAAAGGTGGATTCTTGTGTATATAGTTCTGCCAACCTCAAAATGTTGAGATTCTGCGTAATTTGCAAGTAGTGTATTAAAAGTTTGACATTATGCTTTCTAATGCAAAACTTTGACCATTGATATCTTTAATGATCAATTACAAAAGTTTGATATGTTTAGACTAATCTCACATCATTTAAAAAAAAAAAAAAAACTTCCTTTGTTCTTAATTAATAAAAGAGTAACAATTAACTACAATGTTATTTTGGAAAGTTTGACAATTATTGCAACAATTTTATTTTGGGGATAATGAATTAAGGGGGTAATAAAAGTCATACTAGAAAAAACATAAGTGATTAGCGGTGTTATTATAGGAGATAAGGTGTTTACAAATGAAATATGGTAGTTGTGTCATGAAATAAAGAGAGAGATGGAGGAATCATTATGATAGTAATAGTTCTCCACCCTCCCCCTAGTATAACTATTACCCCCATAATGAGGGGTTATAGTTCTCTTTTCTTCACCTCTCACCACACCGTTACTATACAAACTCTCTTACAATCTCACCATCACTATCTCATCCTTCCTTAAATTCTCTTTCATTTTATATGGTTTGACTTTTATTACCCTAGTAATACATCACTCTCAATCCAAGCATGCCCAAAAAGTAGAAACTTTAACCTTGCCAAAACCACATGTTTACCTTTTGTTTCTCTTTCTTCGATTTCTCATCACATGAGGTTCAATATAGAATCTACTCAACTTGAGCAATTAAATATTTTATCTACTTTGGAGTTTTATTTATGTCTTTTTATTCAAAGCATTTACTTATTGTCTTTGCGTGTGTGTGTGTGTGTGTGTGTGTGCATGTGCACTTATATTAAAGGTGTGAAGTTTTTTTTTTTTTTTTTACGAATTTACTAGTTGCATTTATCTTGAAACACTGTAGTTGCATCTTGCATTATTGATAGTTACAGTAGAATAGGAAAAGATACTGTTTTTCTTTGATATTAACTCTTTGTGAAAAGCTTACTATTATGGTGTATTTATGGGTACAAACTTTTTGTTATCGCAAAATTTTCATAAACTTCCTTCTTACAGGGGCTTGACAAGGATGATCAAATTCAACATATCAACTGACAATTACATGACATTCATCCAACAAGTACGAGACTGGGCAAAGGATCCAAATAGGTTTTCCCATGGTTGTCCTGTCCTTCCACATCCACCTCCAACAATGAAAGAAGCACAATATATGGACATTGAATTACGAGCAAAAGATGCTAAGCAAATAGAACGAGTTCTGACTGTGAAAATAAGACGGCATGACCTATACATTATTGGCTATCGGATGGATGGAGCTACCAACTGGCTTGAGTTTAAGTGGGACACTACCAATTTAAAGTTAATTCCTCATTCTGTATCTCTTGGCTTTGGTGAGAACTATGATAACCTTGGTAAGCTAGAGAATCTTGAGAAGGTGGGCTACAGCACGCTCAAACAAACTATCATTGACCTTGCTTTAACTACAGACAGCAAAACCAGGAAGTCCTCATTGCGTGCTTTAGCTGTTATGATATCGGAGACAGTTAGATTTCAGAAGCTGTCTGATACCTTCGCCCCGGTGATGCAGGCACTAAAAGATATTAAATTTGATGAGACTTGGATGGAACCTCTGATTAAGAATTGGGGTGATCTTTCAGACATGTTACTACGTGAGGACCAATTCGCCATTTACTTCCGCCTACCTCGAGATAAAGAGACTAATCAGCCTAATATCCTTACAAGGACAAAGGAGTTGGGAATAGTCACTTCAGCAGATGCAGCCAAGTGTATCTCTGTCTTGAAAGGAAACTATCCAACTCGTAAATTGCAACTCATGGGAATTCCTGCTGCAGCTAATTCAGGTAACTCCATTCAGGGCAAAGGGTTACCTCTTCTCCAGGTGTTCTCTGTTCATATCAACAACATTGCTGGTGAAATCTATGGAACAATTCAAGTTGATGATGGCTTAGGTACCCTCCATCTCTACAAACGACAGAGGACTGATTACGAGTCCATTAAAACTAACGAGGCTCTGACTCTCACTGGGCCCTATCGCTGCACATCGGTTAGTCAATATTTTAAAGTGAGTCTTGATCTCAAGAAGCGGGGCAATAACCCTACTTCAGATGTTGAAGTAAGCAATGATTTGTTCTCATGGGATATTTGTCAACTCAGCAATGATGATTACTATGACAAGCGTCTATCTAATGTTGTGAATGGCAGAAGTGGGTCTGCAACAGTGTACTACACCCCGTTTCGTGATGCAGTGCAGGCTAATGTGGAAGTTGTGCTTATCAATGGTGATGGTAAAAACCCAGCTGAAGTGTATGGAAGCCTGGTTGCTCGTTATAGCAACTATATTTTTTCCACTGGTGATGAGCAAGCTAAATACCAAAGTACTCTGTTTAACAAGCCAAGCAAGGAGTTTGTGAAGGTGAACCCTGGTACACCCATCCCATTGTCGAGAGCTGTAATCAGTGTGCCTACTACGGGATCCCTTATAACTGAAGCTAACATATTTGTTAGTTCTAATAAAGAAATTTCCAAGGGGACAGCTGAATTTCCTCCTCAGTTGGATGGTAAAACTGTGAAAGCCATTAAGGGGAAATTTGGTCTTGTTCGAGTGACAGTAGCATGGAAAGCTCAGATTTCTGACGACTGATTGACAAAAAAATATATGGTTCCTGCACTCGATCAATGAACCAAATAATCTGTTTGGTCCTGGTAATCCTCTAATGTCTTCTTCGTGTTGTAATGGCCTTTAGGCTTTAATAAATGTATAATTATGTGTGTGTGTGTGTTGGCATGTCTTGTAATAACGGCTTCCACTTCTAATCTGGGGAATTGCCAATAATCCTTTGTCTTGGAGTTGCCTTGTAATTTCCTTTAGGTATGAAGAGTTTGATGTTACCTGTGCTATCTCTTCACTAATTTGCTCAATGTTGTTGCTTTTAAGAAAACATGGTACTTCAGAATAAGCTCTCCTATTAGACCCCTTTAGTACAAAAAGATGGTCTAATAGGTGAGATAGGGGTATGTGAGATCCAAAAATCTAACCTTGTGGTTGATGGCATTGCTTATTTACTGACCTTTGCCAGATAATTAATTAGCATATTTATGTGGTCAATCAGCCAAAATATGAAAATATACACTAGATATGACTATCTAAGTCTGTCTAGTTGGCTAAAAAGCTAGCTTTTCAAGCTGGTTGAAGCAACTTCTTCATGTAATTTTTTGGGTTTCCAAAAAGCTGGTCACTATCCCTTATAAATGGCTAAAAGCCTAAAACTACCATCTTGCTAAAAGAATATAAATAGCTAAACTACTAGCTGGTCAGTGGTCAAATAAGCCAAGTGACGAGTGAACCGATGGAAGCTATCAGATTATGTAAAATAATACTCCGTACTAGCAACTGAAGTAGGCTAGCAGCCTGTGTTGCACTTGATTTCAATGTATACTGTGATCAAGATTATATTACTTTGCAACTATGGTATCGTTTTTTTTTTCAATTCATGTGCTGATATTTTGTTACTGTCCTGTACATCCATATTCTATTTGTTCTGCTGTACTGTTTGGCCATAGCTGGTTAATAATCTTATTGTCTACTCGTACATGATTTCAGAACTGAGTGCTGTTTCCATCACTCTACTCCAACTTTATTCGAGTATACTCGATATGGTCAATGTTGCAACCCTGGAGAGCAACTAACTGGTGGTAACAATTTGCAATGAAGTTGAAGTATTTCCCTGGTCCGGTGACTTAGTTATGTGGATTCACCTTACATCCAGATAAGCTTTATCTTACTGTTTTCTGTTTTATACTTTGCATTAGATTGACAGAACCTTGTGTATGAACTTGTACTGTAATCTGTAGCCCACCTCTATAAATAATGCGATTTTTACAAGTATTTTCTACCGAGCAGTCAAGTCCTGTGGGTTTCCTAAGAAGTAGTTCCTTGTCTTGTATGAGAAAGCTGAGTGAGATAGTTTATGCTATAACGACTCTTTAGGAGACACACGTACATGAATTATAGTTTATGCTAAAAGATGCTTTAGGATAAGGAGAATTTCATGAATTGACATTCACTAAAAGGATTTATTGATTCTGGATAGTATAGCACCCTATTGTTTCCTTTGTATCATTTTCGAAGAACAAGGAAAGAAGATAAAAGGTGGATTCTTTTTTTTTCCTAAAGCTAAGCTTTCTGCTTATCTTTTCAGCAAAACTTCAGTGTGATATTCTGAGTACCAAAAAGATCTGAGAATCTGGGCATAACTTCAGTATTAAATGAGAATTGTATCCTCCTTTATTTCTAGTCACTGCCACTTGTACCTTTTATTATTAGTTGATTAGTTTATCTAGAATGAGCGGTAGAGTTAATATCAACTCACTCTTGCCAAAAACTTGAGAATTTCAAATTGGATGTGATGCAATTTGTGTTATAACTGGTTTTTGAAGCTCAGTATAAAATCAGCTCAACTTCCAGTATGATTTTTGTCTCTAATTTGGAGCATTAAATGTTTATTGTGTATTTATGTGTTTGTTAAGTATATTCCACAAAAGGGGTGAAGTTTATTCAAAATTTACGAGTTGTATTAAGATCCCTGATGATGAAAACCCTGCAAACCCTCATTTTTATTACACAGGAGCTGGGAATAGTAACTTCGGCAGATGCAGCTAAATGAATAGCGCCAATAGCCCTGTTGCTAGGAAACCATCCAACTCCAGAAGACTTGCCACAAACTTAACCTGGTTCCATTCGATGGAAAGGATATCTTCTCCTCCAACCTCGAGGTGTACTAAATACTCGGTACGTATCAACAACCTTGCTGGTAAAATATAAGAAAGATTGATTTCAAACATGACTTGGGTATATGTACTAATGTACACATAAAGATTACGAGTACATTCAAGGCTCTCAGACTCTGACTCTTACTGGACCTGTCACAGTTGGAAGTGAATTACATTCTTAAGAAGCAAGGCAATAACCCTTCTTCAGAGATGAAATCAGCAGAGGGAACTTCGTTTGCTAGTACACTGCAGGCTAGTGTTGTGCAGGCTAGTACATTGCAGACGTTTGTGGAAGCCTGATAGCAGCTCGTTATATCAACTATGATTTATTGCACTGCCACTGGGATGAGCGAACTAAATCTTACTATCGATGTACATATTTTAAGAAGATAGATGAACGGGAGAATGTGAAGGTGAAGTGTGGGACAGGAAATCTCATCCCATTGCTGAGATCTGTGATACCTGTGCCTACTATGGGTCTATAGGATTCCTTGGAAGTTATTGAGGGAAGGGAAGCATGGCCATGTTCGAGTGACAGTAACATGAAGTTATGTACACCCAGGTGAGGGTGTCTATAGGTTCCTGCAGAATTTGTTATATGCACCCAAGTGTACATAATAGGCTATCGGGTTCCTGTGATCAATCGCTACTGATTGTGCTTTAATGTCTTAGATGTAATGGTTTTTGGACACTTATTTCAGAGTTTTTTTTTTTTTTTTTTTGAGGTAATTTTCCAAAGACTTCTATATTTGAGCTTCAATTACCATTAAAAACTGAGCCTGGCTTGTTATCTAGTTGCATACAAAGAATATGCCAAGTCTTAATAAATTAGTTTATTAGATTAAAAGTAAAATAATGCTTCATTTTTCTTGATTGACTTGGTTAATCAAGTAATAGTGGCCATTTCAAAATCAATATATACTAATATACTTCGTATTAAAAGATTGTAACGTAACACAACAAATCTCTCTAGGATTAGTTTTTTTTAAAGAGAAATGGGATAAAAAAAAATGGAAGGGGTAAATAGATGTGAACGTTGAAAGCGCAATGAGTGTATGTTTTTAGGGTGAGAGTTGTGGTGTTATTTATAGGAGGAGATAGATTTTGACTTTGAAACAGGCTTTTTTTTATTGTGTGTTTTTTTATTTGCTTGGAGAGCAAGGATTATGCGTGGAGAGAAAGGTAACCGACGTGTTTGATGGGAGAGTATTTAAATAATTAATACTTTTTTTGACGTGTAATTAATTAATAATTTAGTTTATAGAACCACACTAAACAAACTATCTATAACCTCAGGGGCTATAATAGGAGTTTTGAAATAAATTAATACTTTAATTTTTTTTTAAAAATAAATTACGGAGTAATACTTTAATTGAGATTTAATGATTTGCGATTATCGAATTCTTTTTTTTTTACACAAATTATCGATTTCAAACTTGATTAGTAAATGAAATTATATTATTTCAAAAAAAAAAAAGTAAATGAAATTATATGATTTTTTTTTTTTTGAAAGAAAATGAAATTATATGATTTGATTTGGCATGAATTGTTATTGACCACCAACTCGAAATCAAAAGATTATTTATTAACAGATAGGGCCGGATATCATTTATGAGACTAATTCAAATATTTTTTTGAGCCGCACTTATTTAAAAGGACAATACTATACATACCCTTAGGGCTATATATAAGTATTAAATTACATTAGAAAATCGTATAATATAGGAAATAAAGAAAAATATAAACACTAATTACACTGATTTGCACGCGTTTTTATCACGAATTCCTAGTTTTATACGATTTTCAAAAGTATATTTAATGTTTAGGGCTACATACAACATAACCCTATTTAAATTAAAACAACGTTTTTTTAGTGTGGCCAATCCATCACACCGTGCGGCAAATAATTGACACATACCAAAACACAGACCGAGTAACTTCTTACCAAATGAAAAACCCCTGACCAAGTAATGCGGTCACACAGTATGACCAATCACATATGAAAAATTTGTGATTTCGAAATATTTTACTACGTATACAATAATTATTCCGGGATTTCCCTTCTCTCACATAGTCCCAAACCTACAACATTTGTTGTAATTTTTAGGGGTATTAAAAAATCGGTTCCAAACCTACAACATTTGTTGTAATTTTTAGGGTATTAAAAAATCGGTTTGGACTGGGCCGTCTAGTAGGTTGCAAAATTTAAAATTTCGATTACCCCTTAAAAATGGGCGTAATGGATAAAATTTGGTTAAGGGTCACCACACAACGAATTAGTAACATATTCTGAGTACCCCTTACAAATGTTGTAGGTATGATTCAAATTCTGAGTACAATTTGGTTTGGGTAGTGGGTCACAATCCATCGTTCAAGTATACGTTGGTATGATTCAAATTCTGTTCAGATAAACTTTTTCAAGTTAGTTTAGTTTTTAACAATTAAATTTTTTGGGTGCAGATGATCCACTAGAAAAATACAAATTACAAATAAGGATCAACGGCTTTTAATCTATGACCTATTGTTTCTCAGTATAGTTTTAAATTTTTAAAAACATTATAAACACTGTACAACATAGATAGTCAATTGAATTGTCAATGTATGTTTGCATATATGGTTTAGGCCATAATTAGTTATTTATTTATGGAAATTTTGTGAAAAACTACATATAATAGTCCAGAATTTGCGAGAAACTACCTATTAAAAAAATGTTGTAATTGACTACCTAATTTTGAAAAATGTTGTAATTTACTACCTTAGACCGAATTATGAAGTTTGACCAAAATTTTTCGACGTTGACTTGGTCACGTGACACTTAGTGACCATCATGTGGGAAAATTGTGAGAAAATTTGGGAAAGAAAAGGGTCATTAATTGTCACGTGATGGTCACATGACCAAGTCAACGCCGGAGAATTTTAGTCAAACTCCTTCATAATCCGGTGTAAGGTAGTAAATTACAACATTTTTCAAAAATTAGGTAGCCAATTACAACATTTTTTTTAATAGGTAGTTTCTCGCAAATTCTGGAGTATAGTAGGTAATTTTTCACAAAATTTCCTTTATTTATATTTATTTTGTTTCAGGTCATTATCTTCCATTCATGTGTTATAAGGTCATTACTTAAGTTACATTAAAATTAGATGTGAAACTTTTAATTAAGTATGCACTAAAGGGTTAAGAGATCAAGTATTGATATATCAAGACTTGTTAATATAATATATTAAAAAGACCGATACAACAATCACGTACTCAAGTTGATTAATGGCTACAAATCACACTTGAGAGCCCACTTTGATTAGTAGTAAACATGATATGTGGCTTATTGGAAACAAAGAAAATCCCACAGCATAATCGCCAAAGATGGAGGCTATCGCGGTAGCCAAACACTTCAAGCGCAGGAGCAGTCCTGAAGCTGATTAATTTGCCATGGAAACCAATTCAAGCATTATTAGGTGTGAACAAAATTTTTATAGCAAAATCTAAAAAAAAAAATCTTGGTATTATTAACATTTTATAAATATATAATCATGTCTCACCTTCTTCTCGACGAAAATTCCAACAGACTCGAGATAGTTGTGGTGCCTTCCAAAAACTCCGACAATAGGGCCATCGAGTGTACATGGAGAAGAGAAATCCTTTGCGGTGCATTCAATACCCTTTCCTTGTCCGAATGGTCCGTATCCATTTGGACATAAGTTGGTGTGGATCTTCATTGTGCCAATCAAGCATTGACCACCTTGGTATATGTAGTTACCATAGGTACCGCTAATTCGAGTTATCTTTTCACCACACTTGAGCACAATCTATTTTCATTTATGTATGAAAGTGAAATTAAGGGACAATATGTTAGAAGCAAGAACTAAAAAATTAACATAATAAGATATTCGATGATTTTACAGCGGTATTATTTTAATGATACACAATATGATCGTTTTATTTTTTTTATATTATAAAATAGCCACAATTAATCATATAATATTTACCATGTAAACTTAAATTTTAAAAAATTTAATTCAATATGAAATAAATATATTCGAGAAATTATAAAATAAGAATAAAAAAAATATAAATGAAAATAAATATTTGATAAATCAAAAAAATATTGATAATACTATTTTATACCAATAATTAAGTAATATAATCAATTACTAGAAAAATATGTCAATCATAAACTATATAATCATTAAATATTATAAATGACTACTGTAAAATTTCATAACTTAAATTTTCTTGTATATATATTTTACGTGTATTAATTACTAACCTTGGACTCATTTCCACAAGTGCCACCAAACATCTTGGTGTAGGTACCACCACATGGCTTAGCTACGACGAACCCAATGGCATCGATAATGAACCCGTGCCTTACAATCACTTCCTTGATGCTCTCACCTTCTTGTAGTTTAAAGCTGTAGTTTTCGGGGCATTGTGAACCATAAGGTCCGTATTGTTCAATCATATGCTTCTATTAAAAATAAACTTAATTTCAACATACATGAATAATAATAATCAAATAATTGAAGCTCAGCTCGAAGAAATGGATTAAACTTATTTATGCATAGAGAAATAGAAAAAAAAAAAAAAAAAAAAAAGGAACTAACTCCAAACCTGGGCGATTTCTTGAGCCATTTTGTTGAGAGCGAGGTGATGGAAGAAGCTTGGAAATTACTAATAAGTTGTAGTAACTAAGTGAATGCTGTGATTTGTAATGAATGAAGAGGATGTGTATATATACACATTTAGATCATCACTTTGAATATATTCTAGTGGTCCATAATTCTTCACTTTGAATATATACACATTTAGATCATCACTTTGAATATATTGTAATGTTATATATATACACATGATTTAGATCATCACTTTGAATATATCAATTATACATGCATGTGAGCATAGAAATAAAGTGAAATATATCGTGTAATATTTAATCCATTTATATACATATTCCATTGGATAGTGATAGATTGATTGAATTGATGAATTCTCATTATATGTGAAGCTATACAGTAAATCGGTGCGTCTAAAGTAGGCAGAGTGCCAAAATTGGAACTTAGTACTCAATTTACATATTCAATTTCTTTTTATTGGCTTAGGGTTGGATTGAGTTAGATTTCATAAATATGATATGATGGTGGAGGTGTATGCATTGTGCTAAAGCTTAATGTACATTATTTGAACATGAGGCATAAAACCAAAGCATATAAAGACTAAGGGCATGTTTACATTTAGTGAAGTGAAGTGAACTGAACTGAACTGATTGAACTTGAACTGAAATGAACTAAATAGAGCTGAAATGAATATTTTATAAGAGAAGGAAATTGAGAGCTGAATTGAACTGAACTGATTGGAGTTGAAGTGAGGTGAACTGAACTGAAATTAAGCTAAAATGAACAGGCCTTAAGGCCATGTAAACTAAAATGACCGTGAACTGAATTGCACTCAAATAACCTAGATTACTATTATTAATTTATTAATTAATAATTAATTAATAATAGTTGGACAATTTGCAATAGCTACACTAATAATGTCACCCTTATAATTTGATCATGATAATTAATACGTAGTATTTTGTTTTAAATCTATACCATTTATTCCATTGACCAAACTATACATATTTAATACCTTGTATGCGGAAATTAAAAATACTTAGTTACCCTTTCTTCTTTCCCCTTTCTCTTTACCATCCCCTCTCAATAATGATTTCTGGCGCAACAATTGCTAGTATTGCCACAATCAATCGGGGTCGAAATCGTGGAGATAGATAAGGGGTGATCTCAATGACATGTTTGCTTCAAATTGTAGGATCTGCTAGCTTGTACAAAAGTTGAAGTTATGACTTACACTCCAATAACTTGAGAAGTTTTCCTGAAATTTAACAATTATAACTTGTGAATTTTGTGATGCAAGGTTAATACAGTTAATTTGTATATAGTGGGCTAAAAATGTAAAATTTTTACCCAAGATTATTACTTAATCATCAATAATAATTTACATAGTTGTTTCATGGAATGATGGTGCTCATATTTCACATCAAATGAGCATATATGCTTATCAACTAAGGTGTTGACGTTGATTCAATCCTTGCATTGCATCCAAAGATGCTGCCTTATGATCTGTAAATGTTGATAACAACATTGACGATTTTCAAAGGTGCCACATAATTTGTTCCTAAGACGTCAACTAATGCTGCCTTTTGAGTTGGATATGTTGAAAACAATAGCGAGTTAATAAGGATTGAGTTTGGGTATCTTAGAATTTGTAATTAAGGATACTGACCCCTATTCCCCTAATGAATTTTTTTATATATACAATCAGGTGCAAGATGAACTTAAGAGTGTACTGCTCATTTATATTTTTTTGCTCATATTAAAATATTAAAATGAGGGGAGAAAAAAAATTAAATGAGCCAAAAAAAAAAAAAAAAAAAACACCACCTTTGGTGGATCTATCTCTATGTACACTTGTGTGTATCTAAAAGGTTTTGGGCCTCCTAATAAGGAAGACTAATTTTTCTTTTTCAATTATCTAACGCAAGCGCAAGTACGTTTGAAAACATGAATGGTGTATGTACTAATTACTACGTATTAATCATGGCCTAGCTCCTTTGCGCGAGGGCTCTATATTCCTGCCAAACATCTTAGTGTAGGTACTTGGCTTAGCTACGACAAATCCAATTGCATCCAAAATGAAACCATACCTTACTATCACTTCCATTATACTTTCACCTTCTTCAAGTTTAAAGTTGTAGTTTTCAGGACATTGAGAGCCATAAGGTTCGATGGCAATCATATACTTTCGATCTCCTTTGAAAGACAAGGGTTATTCGACCTCCTTCGAAAGACAAGATTTATCTCCTCTTTTCGTAAGAGAATCATTTTAGGTAGGTTTGAATCCATGATATTAGATCTAATGCATTGTTGTGATGAAATTATTTCGTTGGTGAAAATTATGCAAGATCACAAGGGTTATCAAGCTTTCAAATACACACAGATGAATTAGAAGGAAAACATCCTCACGGCTACAAAGGATCGTTAGATTGTCTCTCCAACAAGGTTGTATTTTCAAGCGATATAATGAAAATAGTATAGTGTACAAGGGTTTGAAAAAGAATACTAGTGTTTGAAAAAGAACATGACATTAGAAAGAACATAAAGTTTTTACAAAAGAACGTGATAATTAATTACAAAACATGCATATTACTTTTTCATGGTTACTCAGATGGTTGAATGTGTTTGAAAAATAACCCTATGTTTGATAAGAGAACATGTTTGTGTTTCCGCCCATGTTCTTTAAAATATGCTTAATGTTATTTTTTTTGCCCATGTTCTTAAAACATGCATTTTTATGTTCTTTAAAATATGTCTAATGTTCTATTTTTTTCCCATGTTCTTCAAAATATGCCTAATATTCTTTTCGGGTGCACCCGAGTGCACCAACCATGCATTGGCGATATAAGCGAGAGATGTTTTACATTGCAAGATCTACTCGACAATCATAGTGTTTATGTAGGAAATTTTTATTTGATGCAATATCTTATGTATTTGTTAAAGTCGAATATCCTTTGTTAATGTTGACGACTTTTTATCAGTGAATTTTTTTAAGCATAATATTAATGTGGCCAATTGACCGTATTGATATAATTAAAAGTTACACCCTTGTAACAGATTATAAAAGTTAACACCCTTGTAACAGTACAGATTAGTATAAAAATTATTGCCGGTGATATATTGATATAAAAATTAGCAGTTGGCGATATATTGGTATGTAAATTAACATGTTGCAACATTTACCTCTATTATGTCGTCAGAGTATAAGCGTAGTTTATACGCACCTTAGCTAGTGTGAAAAACTTTTGGACGATGGAATAATGTGATGCAAGGTTAATACAGTTAAAACAAGCCCAGCTCGATTTGTTTTATAGTGGGCTAAAAATATAAAAGTTTACCCAAGCTTATTACTTTGTCGTCAATAATAATTTACATAGTCGTTGCATGGAATTATGGTGCTCATATATGCTCATCAACTAGGGTGTTGATGTTGATTCAATCCTTGCATTGCATATTTGCATCCAAAGATAATGCTGCCTTATGATCTGTAAATGTTGATAACAACATTGGCGATTTTCAAAGGTGCCACATAATTTGTTCCCAAGACATCAACTAATGCTGCGTTTTTGTGCTGGAAATGTTGAAAACAACATCGAGTTAATAAGGATTGTGTTTGGGTAGTTTAGATTTTGTTTTTAAGGATACCGACCCCTAATGAGATTTTTTTTTAGGAAATTTTGTGAAAAACTACCTATTATAATTCAGAATTTGCGAGAAACTACCTATTAAAAAAAATGTTGTAATTGACTACCTAATTTTGTAAAAATGTTGTAATTTACTACCTTTATGCCGGATTATGAAGGAGTTTGACCAAAATTCTCCGGCGTTGACTTGGTCACGTGACACTTGGTGAAAGAAAAGAGTCATTAAGTGTCACGTGATGGTCACGTGACCAAGTCAACACCGGAGAACTTTGGTCAAAGTCCTTCATAATCCGGCATAAGGTAGTAAATTACAACATTTTTCGAAAATTAGGCAGTTAATTACAACATTTTTTTTAATAGGTAGTTTCTTGCAAATTCTGGACTATAATAGGTAGTTTTTCACAAAATTTCCTTTTTTTTTTATATATAATCGGATGCAAGGTGCATTTATGGGTTTACTGCCCATTTTATTTATTTTAATGTTTATAAGGTATTTTCTTTCATCATTTTTTTATAAGGTCGTTTATTTCCACAAAATCTAAACTGTATTAGGTAGGTTTTTTTTTTTTCAAAAAAAAAAAACCTTAAAAATTTTTAAGGGACTATTTTATGTATATTGTTATGTTAAATATTTTGCCATGGTTATAATTCAATCATGAATTTGAATCAATTTTCCATTACATATATATATATATATATATATATATATATATATATATATATATATATATATATATATATATATATATATATATATATATATATATATATATATATATATATATATATAGTTGTAGGCACGAAAAATGTATATAAGTGCCACATGGGTTACTTTACTGGTCAAAAGTCAAAATATTGACTCGGGTTTTGACAATTAATTTAATTTAATTATTTTGGGTGAAATAAGTTAAATAAGCCCATTTTAATTGTTTTAATTAATTTTTTCATTTAATAGCAAAAGCCTACTTAAATGGGTTAAACTATATAAATTAGTCAAGATTACCAAGTCAAAAGCCCAACTTCATTGTACATCAAACCCTAACCCTAACAGTTACTCACTCTATAAATAGAGACTCTCTATTTCATTTAGGAGCAGGAAAAACCTAAGAAAGAGAGAAAAACTCAGAAAAAACCTCTCATCAAATACTCTAATCTTCTCCAAAGAAATCCTCTCAAAACCTAGAAGAAGAACAACAAGCATTCGACGTGCCGTTCTACTTTAGAAGATCACCCGTGGAAGAGATCAAGCCTCGACGGCCCTCAACACAAAGGAAAGAAGGAATTTAAATCATCAAGAACACCAGTTCAACCTCTACATCAAATAATCATTGATCGAGATCAAGCCTCGTCGGCCCTCAATCAAGAATTCAAGTCAAAGGTTTACATCAACAACAAGTCAAAATTCTACATCAACAATAAGTCAAAATTCTACATCAAATCTTCGATCGAGATCAAGCCTCGACGACCCTCGTTCGAGAATCAAGTCAATTCGTGAATTACGTCAAAGTCAAAGTGGAGATCGAATCAGAGGATCAAATTAGAGATTGTACCCAATATTATCATATTAATAAAATTAACACTTTGTTTCATTTATTTTGAATCTATATTTTGCAGATTTGAAATTTGTGTTTACAATAGTATAATTAGTCATTCATTTTATTTATCATGTCATTATATGTTTTGTATTATAATAAAAAAAATGTCCTAAAATGAAACTATTATATATGAAATGAAAGGAGCATAAAGAAGATACCAAGACAATAATATACTACCTCCATTTTTTTATTAGTTGACACGTTTTGACTTTTGCACTATTTACACACTCTTCTTTGACCGTGTATTTTGGTTTATACGTAATGAAAAATACAGTCATTTGTGATCTTGTTAGATTTGTTACAATTTATACTTTCAAAATATCAATTTTTTTTAAATAATTTTTGCTTATCGACAATCAAAGATATTAATGGTTGAATTTGTGCATTAGAAAACGTGACTTAAAAAAACGTGTCAACTATAAAGAAATTAAACGAAGGAAGTATTATCACTAGTATATAATAGTGATGCTCAATACACTAGTACAAGGCCTTTTGGAAATGAACTCGTAAACCGTGCGGGCTTGCCCCCAAAGTGAAAAATATTGTACTAGTATGTGTATAAGCATGCATCAGAGGCCCAACAGGTTTTCTAGTTAAATTTCCCTAAAGTAGTGCCAACTGATGAATAGTTTTACTTTTTTTTATAGTTTTTGAACGAACTGTGTATTTCTATTTATAAAAGTCTCGATTTTATATACTTAACTAGGTTAGGTCCCGTGCCATGCACGATAATTTTTAATAAATATTATAAATTTACAGGTAAAGTACTATATAATATTGTATCATTTTCTTGTTATTAACCGGATGATTGAATATCTTAACAATATGTATTCAACTCGTAAATAGATTTTTTTACACACTATTATTTATTCTATCTTCTGCAATATTATTTTTAATAATCACTTGAATTTAAAGATTTTTAATATCTTTCTTAGCAAGATTTTTATACATAAATACAATAATCTTGAAAAAAAAAAATCTTTATTGTAATAATAGAAGAGTATTATATTACATAATATTATAAGTCACAAACTATGTTAAGAATTAGTTTTTTTTCCTATCTTAACTTAAGGTCATGGAATCAATATGAAGGAAACATTAAATGTATTTTATTCTTTTATTTATATATTATATTAAAATGACACGTATTATTGCTGGTGTGTCATTTAGTATATATAGTTATAGTTATTGATGATTGATTTGTACAAGACGGCCTTAAATAATTTGTTTACTTATAATAGGAAATTAAAAACACATGTTAATTGTTAAGTGAAAAGTAAATATATTATATTGATCTCAAACACAGATATATTATCGATGACAATAATAATAATACATTAAGTCAAGGGTACGGATACATGGACACTTGACGCATGTTGGATACAAACTTGAAAGATAAAGAAAACATTGCTTGATGATGCTCTAGGTATGGAAGCATCCACAACCGTCATAAGCTCCAAGTCTCCAACTTCACTCCTAAAATGAAGTTTAATTTGTTATTAACAATCATGAGGCTTTAAGTTAACCATTTGATCATGTGACATGGTATTAAGAGTCAATCAACGAGTGAAACGTAGATGTTACCATTTGAACATAGAGTCCAATGGATGCAACGCTATCTTGAGCAGATCCAAAGAATCCAATTACTTCTTGGTTGTCTCGTAATGGCATTGGAGATTGGAAGTCGCTGCCGTCTTTAAGCTCATCATCTCCATAAGGCCCGTGTCCACGGGGTACCAAATCAGTATGTATCCTCAGTTGGGATATCTTTGAACCTTTATACCTTCCACTTATTCCAAGTATGTTTTCACCAAGTTGGAGATTAATCTTCATGAATGATACAAATTATAACAAATTAAATTTTGGAGAATTCATCATTTTAAGTTTAAATGAAGCTTAATCTATATATGGTTTATTGGATGATGAATTTTAAAAATTAGACAAATGATTTATAGTTAATTTTTACATTATAAAATAAATCATAATCAGCCAATAAAAAAAAATAGTACTCGTATAATGGCACTACAAGAAAATAACAAGATTCGAACATGCAACATCAAACTCTTATATTAAATGTTTCACCAATAAGCTATGACATATTTTATGTATTCTTTGTCAAACAATATTTATATATCTAGTGTTGAAAAGGCTTTTCGTATCGATTTTTAGGATTTAGTGGCGATTGTAAATGATACGATTTCTTAAAATTATATAATTGTGTAAAAATAGTGTGGATATGTATTATTATGTTTTTCGTATTGACTTTATATGGGAAAAACCATGGCGATTGTAAAATGATACGACTTCCTTAATTATTTCACAAACAGACTTGCATATTGTAACGAATGTACAATCGTTACGAAAAGACATTTTTCTTGTAGTGTGGTTTAATTTTAAGGATGACTACCATAGAATTTTCATATCTATATATGCGTATGCATGCATATATATAAGTACTGTTATACATATGAGTTATGAAGTATGAGGTATGACCTTGTTTTTATTTCCACCATTGCCTCCGTAAATGTTGGTTCTGCTATCCCCATCATCACCGGTAATGGTGAACCCGATTGCATCCACCATGAATCCCGACCATACGATTACTTCTGTTATTGTTTCATCGTCGTTGATTTGGAAGGAATAGTTTTCTTCGGCTTTGTCGTTACCATATGGTCCGTACCTCTGCAACGATAGTTATATATATAAAATAAATAGTTTAAATAATGTTGAAAGTCTAACTGGCTAATACAAGAGGGGGGGTGAATTGTATTTGAGGTGAAATCTAAAAACTTTTGCGGAATTTAACTAAATGAAATAATGACGAGAGAAGATATAGGCTTTTCTAAATTTCCACTATGTAATCAAACTCTTTACAAGTGAAGATTCAAACCCGTTAACAAGTTCCACAAACTAGGAACTTGTTCCCAACTCTCACAGAAGCCTTCAGCAACGAAGCTTCCTTGACCTCACTTTAAAAACTCACAATCCCAACCCCTAAGTACTTGAATACAATATGTGATTACAAATACCTATTGCACTCAAGAATATAAGAAGGATAATAACTCTCTTTATGTTATTAGAAGGCTACTGGAATTTTTATGCTCAAGAGTTATATCTTTCTGAGATAGTTTGCATGAGTATTTATAGAGAAGGCTTAGTCATTAACCTCCACTATAATCACGTCCACATGCCAACAACCCACTAACAACTTGTGGAGTTATCTTGACAGATGGTAATCATGAAGAGGTTTCCTAGCCTTATCTAATTAGTCCACTATCTTAAACAACTTGATAATCATTAGCCGTATAAAGATTTTCACACAGAAAAACCGCTTGCTATCCTTATCAAATATTTGTTTAAAAAGATTATCAAAAGTTTGTTTAAAAAGATTTTATTTGAAAAGATAAATTTATTATTTATTAAAACAACTAGATAATTATCTTCGATAATTATCTTTATTAAAACTTTTACAAATTATCTTTTCTTTAAGAAATTATCTTTTAAAACTAACTTTTATTCCAGTAGTCTTTTTAACATAAGTCATTGAGTTCCTTTCCGACTTTATAATATTGAGTGCTCACAATTAAAACTAGAACGTGAGATTTGCACGAGGCTTTTTAGAGAATGCTACTCCGCATCCAAGTTCCTACTCCGGAACGAACTTTGCTTGAATCCTTTATTCACCAAAGACTCAAAACATTCATTAGTCGAGTTTGTCAATTTGTCCATCAAAACCAAAAGGCTCAACAAATTCCCCCTTTTTGATGATGACAAACATTGACAAACTTAGGTAAATAAAATCATCCAGGCATGCAACAAAAATTTAAAGTAAGGCATGAAAACAAAAAAAAAAACAATTAAAGAACTTAGAAAAATATTAAAAAGTTTTTTTTTTTTTTTTTTTTTTTTTTTTTTTTTTTTTAAAAAAACTGAGCAAAAGAAAAATTAACAAAGACTTTAAAAACTGAACTTAGCAAAAGTTTGTACCTTCGATGTGTGAGTTCCTTGGTAAACACTTTAGCCGCCATGAAGTTTGTCTTTTCCCCCTTTTGGCATTATCAAAAGATTGAAAAAAAACATTTTGCTATACTCCCACTAGACTACGTAGGGAATAGTGAGCTCAAATAATGCAAGGCAAAAATAAGTTAGGTACCAAATTATCAGCAAACACACACAATCATATGAAAAATACGAGCCAAGTTCCGATTTAGGAAATAGAAGAGGAACATAGAGAATGTAGCAAAGGATAAAGGCGTACAAACCAAAGTTCAGAGAGATTAAACAAAACCAAAATAAAATTGTTCAACATATGAAATTAGAATAAGTGCAATCAAGGATTTAAGAGGCTGCATTGGTAGGATCAAGGGTTGGATTTGTGGGATCAATAGAGTCTTCCTCGACTTCCTCAAAGGCTACTTTGTTGATAGTTTCCAAGATCTCCTTGTTGCCTTCACTAAACTTGCCTTCAGCCTGTGCAAGCTTTGCCTCCACGCCTGCAAATCCGGTTGCTTGAGATTCTGCCAGAGCCTGCACCTGGCCTTTAAGAGAAAGCAATTCCGAGGCCATTTCCTCCAGTTTCTTGCTCACCAGAGTAGTCAACTTCTCCATATCTGCTTTAACCTGTTGAAAATCATAAACAAACACACGAGTTCCAGAGAAAGCAGCAAAGCCAGTAGGCTGAAATGGAGGAGGAGAAGGTGAATGAGGAGGCTGCCTAGTAGATGAGACAGGAATAGAAGAGGGTTCAATGGCAAAGGGGACTTGGGTAGGTTTGAAGGTGGGATCAGATTTGTCTGAGGAGCTGATGGTTTCTACAGTCACAGGGTGTGTAGTAGAAAGGGCAGGCTTGACCACATTCCTCTTACTTCTTCTAAGGCCCCCTGTAAACACAGGAATGACAGGTGGTCCAGCTGTGCTCTCAGAGTCTGTGGTATGTTCCCCCTCACTTTGATCAGTTCCCTGCCCCTCATGTGAGTCAGATTTTCGAGCTTCCCCCTCAGAAACTTCCTTATGTTCCCCCTCAGAATCTTCCTGTTTTTCTCCTTGCACATCTCCCTCAAGTATTTTTTCTTTGTTTTTCTCTCCGTTAGAACTTTTTTCTTCTTCCTTATCTCCCTCAGAATCACTGGAGGTGGTAGCACCCTCACTAGCAACCTCACTACCCTGGTCACTGCCCTCCTCATCACTTGCGTCACATTCTTCCTCAGCTTCTTTCCCTTTCCCTTTCTTTTTCTCCCCTCCTTTCCGAGGCACAAAACATACTTTGCCATTTGTAAGCCTAAGACTCAGTCTAAGTAATGATTGTTCAGAGAGGATATTATCGGGTTTGAGATATGTTGGGGATTCACATTCAACATCAATACCAAAAGATTTGACCAACACAGTAAGGAAAGAGCCATATGGAATTGTGGTCTTTTGAGCATAAAAATTCAAGTGTTCAATCATTAGAGCAGGGAAATTAATCTGTATTTTGCATGCAAGACAGAATATGAGGGAGGCATCCAAGAGTGATACGGTACTCCGTTTTTGTAAACGGGGTACTATACCCTTCCAGGTGAAGGTAAACAGTAGCTTATGAAGGGGTGTTAGGGCATGATGGTGAGTAGTTTTCACTTTCGGATTTCCTCCAATAAATTGAAGGATTTTGCATTCATCATTATGGCCAATATTTACAGATTGTTTGTGCTTTAAATAAGAACAATAGCCTTTAACAGGAACTTGAAATAGATTTCCAAGATAATTGGCATCAATCGAAATTGGAATATCATTAACTACGGCCGAGCACACACCATTATCACATTGAAAGGTATTTTTGAACTCATAAATAAGTTTAGGATAAACAGGGTAATGAGAACAATTCTGGAACAAGTGAGTCCATTTTTGATAATCAATTAAAGAAGTAAATTCAGTGAACTTACTCGCCACACACCAATCATAGTTGATGTGATATCCGAGAGTGTAATTCCATGATGGGAATTTGGTGGTTGCGCGCCGTTTCCTGTCGCCGCCCTTCACAACCTTAGCCTTCCTCTTTGGCTGAGCAGATGGATGCACCATCGCAATTGGCACCGGTTGTGGAGACCCCGTGTTTGAGGAGGGTTTGGATGGTGGTGATCGGGTTTTTGGGGTGGTGTTTCGGTTGGTTTTCATGGTGTTGAAGGTAAAATGAAGGGAAGGAGAAGATGAATAGTGTGAATAGGAAGGAGAGAGAGTGAGGCTGGTTATGGGAGTTTATGGGGAGTTTAATTGATTTGATAGGTGAAGGTGGAGTGAAAAGAAGAAGAAGAGTTTAATTGGGAGGAGTGAGAAAGAAAAATGACGGTTTAAAAGGTGAGGTAGTGGAGTAGTTTTAGAGGTAGTAGGATTTAATTTGGTGAAATAATTGCACTCATCTAATTCAATGTTGATAAAATAAAATCGTAAGTTAAGGAGTTGATATACATGCTTCTTATCTTACGTAACAAATAAAAGCAGAACTGAACAAAGGAAAATAAGGAGGAAAAAAAAGATAAAAATATGAATAAAAGATAAGAATAAAAGATAAAAAAAATAAGGAAGGCAAAAAAGATAATAATAGGAAGGAAAACAAATTAACAATATAAAAAAATGGTAAGTGCAAATGGATTGTAAATTATGATGATAATTTACGTGATCATAATACAGAGAATAAAGAATGATGAAAAGGGAACTTGAAACAACATGGCTCAATATTTTTAACATATTAAAAGTATGTATAAGTGACTTTTCAATACTTCACAAATCTTTTCCCTGGGTAATTTCAGCTGTGTTATGCACACAAGATTGAGCATAGCATTGTTAGTTACATCCGATTTTACCTTAGGGGTTCCAAACAAAAATCACTTTAGCCGTAGCATCCCCAATTCCACACGCATCTTTTCAAACTTGTCTCTGCTTAAAGGCTTAGTTAATATATCAGCAATTTGACATTCAGTAGAAATAAAATCTAGCCTAATTAAGCCCTTTTTCAAGAAAGTCATAAACATATCAAAAGTTTCATCTTTACTATGTAAGAATATGACCCATGTAAATCTAGAATAATCATCCACAAGAACTAAGACATATATTTTTCCACTTCTACTTTGAATTCTAACGGGGCCACACAAATCCATATGAATGAGTTCCAATGGTTTTGTGGTGCTTACCATTTTCTTTGATTTAAATGATGATCGAACATGCTTTCCTTTGATGCAAGCTTCACAAATTTTGTCATTTAGGAATTTGATAGAAGGTAATCCGATTACCAAGTCCTTTGACCTTAATTTGTCAAGCAATGAAAGACTAACATGTCCAAAACGTCTATGCCATAGAAGTGGATCATCCTCAATAACACTTAAACAGGATAGATTGTATTTTGGAACTTTGTTAAGATCCACGGTATACGTGTTCCCTTTACGAGTTCCTTCCAAAACGATTTTTCCAGTGTTATTGTTGATGATTTTGCATTTTTCAGAAGAAAAGCTTACAGAGTTTCCTTTATCACAAAGCTGAGATATACTGAGTAGATTATGCTTCAAACCCTCGAAAAAATACATTGTCAATTGCATGGGAACTTGACCTTCCTACTTTGCCAACAGCAACAATGTTGCCTTTCTTATTGTCTCCAAAGGTCACTGTTCCCCCTGTATAGGCCGTCAGTGAGAGAAATCTGGATTCATCTCCTGTCATGTGCTTAGAACAACCGCTATCGAGGTACCACT